TGTCTTCTTTCCCCCACTCCCAGCCAGTACAGGCCACACTACTGGTTGTGGAGAGGCAGGGATCCTCCATCAGAGACTGTCTTTTGCAGCCTCTCCTGCCCTGACCACAGAGCTGCCCCAGGTGCCCAGCAAAGTTCTTGGATCAGCATCCAAGTAGAGGGCAAGCTGGGACCTACTTTTGTCTTTAGTGAGAGTCTTGATTTAATGATTTTGGAAATGGTATTTGTCCCAGCTCTGCCATGGACAAGGACAACCCCTTCTGGCCTACCAAGCCTCTCCCATCCAGCAACTCTTCTCACTACTCTGGTGAGGATCAGACACACAAGTTCACTCCCCATGATCTCTTGTGGTCTGAGTTTTTGTGCTGAGAAGCTATTTGCAATGATGGGTCAATGCAGAGCTGTAATGAACAACAGCAGTAATACAGGTCTATGCTATACCATGGAGCTCCTCTGATGACCTGCAGCACACACTATTGCCTCCTCAGCACTCACTCCTTATAAACGTGTGCCTCAGACAGATGATGTTTAAGAACTGGGCTGAGATGACCAGTCTGTCCATACAGCTGTCAGTGCTGCTGCATGTCAGAGGGTAGCTGACCAGAGGATATTTCTTTTACTTGGCTTGAATTCAAACCTATAGTCAGTTCCTTGCTCCTCCATGTTGTTTGGGTCTCTTTCTCTGGTGCTTCCAGAGACAGCTCTGTAAATAGGTACTTGCCTGGCATTTCACAGGGTACCTGGGGAAGCAAAATTACCACCGGCTGCTGCCTACTTTGCCTGAGCTTCCCTCCCTCTGGAAAGACCTGTTGCTGCCTCTCAAGGAAGGTCTGAGGGATATGGACTCTCTCTCTTGCAGCAGAACTGTGGCCATCCCTCACATCACCAGGGCTGCCAGACCCCCAGGTGCAACTCTCCAGGGCTCTTCAGGATTCCTTCCAGCACCTTGTCACAGTTCCACCAGCCTCTTTCTATGCCTCCTTTACCTCAGCATGAGCAGCCAGGCCCCTCAACCTTAGGGCAGCAACATTCAGTTTTGTGAGTGTTGTTGAGACAGCTCTGTCTGCACAATTGCAGTATCTGGACTTGGCTTAGTTTACCTGTGACATACATCATGTACAGCACCAGTTGCACAGCAGTTACTGCTGTAGGCTGTAGACTCAGAAACAGATTCAAAGAGCGCTGTGGTATGTGGGAACCTTTAGGGCTGCATACCAGCCAATGCCAGGCACAAAAAGACCACACAAAACAAATACACTTGCAAGGACTGTTTTCCTTCTCCTCAGCTTGAAGACTCCCACATGCCATTCTCCTTTCTTCCCACTCTGAAACAGGAGTTGAACAGGTACAAACCAGTATGCTGATAACAATCCCAAATTGACTTTTTAAGCACCAGTTGTCTAATCTATGTTCTAGATAAACCTATGAAAATACAAACATTAGAAAACATTAATTATTGTGAGAGATGTCATATTTGTGTATTTTTATAGAAGCAAAAGTTAAGTTTTTTATCACAGGCTGCTTTAATTATAGTTGATGGCTTCTTATTCTATCAGGATAAAACATAATGAAATCTGGTATGTAGAAGCTGAAACTGGAGAAATCCAGAGATGAAACAAGGCTATTAATACTGAGAATAACACTGAAGTTGCCCCTAGCATGACTCCCTCAGGAAAATGGGAATTCTCCATTGTTTTGCTCTGTGCCAGTCAAGACTGTGTATATAAAACATATGCTCTTGCTCAAGTTCTGACTTGAATAGTAGACTGTGTGTGAAGTGTGACCATAATGCAATCAAAACCAGCTGACAAAGTACCTGAGGGCAATGATTTCCTGGCCCTCCCACTGGGTCCTCCCACAAGCAATTGGTTTATGCAGTGAGGTGATCCACAGCTGCCAGTCTCTTTATTTTTCTGCTGCATGAGCTTGTCATTGCTGATTAGAGGGGAAGCAAGGCCCAGGAGAAACAGAGTAAGGGAATTAGGCACAAAGGTGGTTTTCAACATCTTTAAGCCTGTAATTCAGAGAACTACAATATGAAGCTTAAATTGCCTGTGGAGAGAGACAAGTACCTCAAACAGGTGTTTCAAGGTCCTATCTTGCTTTTGTGCAAGTTTTTTCCCACATAGGATTGAGCCTTCAGTGGAGTTCTGACGCATGGACTTTTGATCTGGCTGGTGTCCTTGCCCCTTTGGTAAGTTTTCAGCAGTGCTGTGTCTGGAACGCAATGCTCTCTCCCACCTGCAGAACTATGACAACTTTGCTTATTAAGAGAAAGAGTTTCTTCTGCTCTCATCTTCTGACATCTCGTTCCCATTTATCTCTTTGTCCTTCTGTTTAGGTATCTTGGATATGGTCCTCTTAACAAAGCAGCCTGTGCTTGAGTTGTGATAGTGATAGTCTAACAGTGCCAAGCTAGTTCTCTTGGATCTGCCAGAGAATTTGTTTTGTTAGTAAGATATTTGCTGTTTATAGTAGATTTTATTTTCTGCTGAATGATATGTCTGCAAATTGGAAAGACCCAACATACAGTGCTTAAGCAGTCATATTAAAGATAACTGCCAAGGGAAATCACTTGGGAACAATGAGATACTACTGGCTCTTCTTACAACCTTCTCCCTCTGAACTTCAAACTGTTTTTCTATTTGCATTGTTTAATGGAAGCCACAATTTTATTTTATTTAATAATAATTTTGTTAAACACTTTAACAGAAGCAACAGAAGATATAAGGAGGCATAGCTTTGAAGAATAATTGCATTAAAAACATGGCAGCAGGTTGTGCGAGTACCGATGTGGTTCCGGGCTTCCAGGGGTTAAAGCAAGGTGTGTGCAGGCGGTTCTTGGGGAGGTACTTTGTATAAAGTTCAGTAGCTGAGGAATGTCCTGGCAGTCAAGCTTCATTGCCTGGGAAAAACAGAAGGCCAGATTGACATTTCAGTAAGTGATACGATCCGATTGGCTTTGCTGGTGCAAATGAGAGAACTTGACCAGTGCCTTTAAAGGAAGAATAAAAATACCTCATAAAATTCAGATTAAGAAGTATTGTGATTGCATGCCATGGCTGAAAGGAGTAGGAATAGGATGAGGAACACGAAGAGAATGGCTGCTTTTCCTACTTTGCCTTTGGTCAGCCTCAGTTCGGGAGGGGACCCTCTAAAGGGTGAAGTTAGCTTTTGCCCTCTGAAATACCTAAGAGAGATATAAATTGTGCTGCTTCTGGTTATTTATTACAATTCTTTGATCACTGGGAATAATGATTAATACAGACTCACACTCAACATACAAAGTGTAGGCAATTGGAGTCCCTTCTGCTGGGAACTGGCAGAGAAATCTCTTTGGATGATACTGTCCCAACAGCCAGCTCCATTTCTGGCCGTATTCCTGCCTGTCCTTGCTCAGCTGGCCAAATGAGAGAGCTCCTCACCAGATGCCTGTTTCTTTTCAGTTCTTTACCTGTCTCCACTTGGCTCTCCAGCCATATCTTTGTAGTGCTGTCCTGCTCTCTGCCTGAACCAGCTCCATAATGTATGCTTTGTCTTTTAACTAGAAAGGAACAGGCAACTTCATTCAACCAAATTCCCATGAAACTGGAAATGGATGAGAAATCTAAAGCGAAACCATCTTTAGGAAACTACAGGGTCCTCAGAGTCTTTGGAAATCTGACTACTTATTTGGATAATGAGGTGTAGATTTCAGAGTCTGCCTTTATTCACTCCAATGTCCAAATCTTGACCTTATGTTTTTAGTTATGTTTTTATATTTTAACCATTTATTCACATCAATCACACACAATTTTATATTTTAACCATTTATTCACATCAGATGTACTGTGCACATCTTTCATTTGTGCACAGTAACTGGTTTGGTACCCACTGTTTATCTGCTGAGACATCAGTGAAAGCACACTATCAATATGAAGAAAGAATTTACAATGCAAGTTTAATAAACAGAACAATTAAGATCTTTTTTTTAACCAGGACTAGTGAATAGTGTTGCTTATGGTACTAGGAGATACTTTTGTTCAGTTCTCCTGGCTCTTCCTCCACAGATTGTTGAAGCCTGTTTATTTGAGACCGCCCTGTTTTGTGAGAGCTCATTTGTGTGAGCTCTCAACAGGAGCTGAAGTACAGTTTCAGAGCATTCATGGATCTCTCATAATCGCTCATGACATCATCATTCTGGTGCAGCCCTTCCCCAACAGGCAGCGAGATTATCAGCTGTTGGTATAACACACATAATATAAATTCCTGTAAGTCACTATATATTCATGTAAGGGATTGCTGCATGTAAAGTAGCTCAATAAGTGGTGGCCTGATGACTGAATAAAATATTCTGTATGTTGGCAGCTATCATTAGAAGTGCTTGAGGCCCTTGGTTTGTTTGAGCCATTTCATATGGGAGATGGCGCAAGTATGTGGGGCAAGATGGTATCCTCTGGTCAGGAGAGATGTCATTACACTAGTTTGGTTTTAATCTCTATCCTAGCACCAACCTCATGCCCTGGGACTGCCTACAAGCAGTGAAGGGTGCTTCAGCTGGAGCCTGGGACGAGCCACCAGCCCCTGAGGGCTGCACTGGACAGCGAGGGCAGCATGCTGGTGTGGATGCCAGCTCCCTGCCCGGCTGCTCCATGAAAAAACACCTCATCACTGGTGGTCTGGGGACAGTTTGGGAACATCGGCTCTGAGGGCTGGGAGGTAACTGCAAGGGGATTTTAGGAGACTCGGTGGCAGCCTCTGAGGGTGCAGGGTGGGCGGAGAGGGGGATGTCTCCGCCCGGGGCAGAGTGTAGCTGCCGCTGTTCTCTGGGCTGGGCCGGGCCGCCCGAGCACCCGGCGCCGCCCGCCCCACCTGCCTCGCCGCCGAGCCCGAGAAGGGGTTAAAAGCCCGGGGCGGGTGATGTCAGTTCCTGCGCTCCTCGGGAGGGCAGGCTCTGATATTTGAGCTGGGCTCTCCCGTTCGAGGGAAACCAGCGAGGGAATGGCAAAGTGCTGAATGGGACAGGAGTCGTGCCGGGCACCTGCCTGCCGCCCGGCTCCGCACAGCCGCCGCGCCCAGCGCCGGCCCCGGGGTCCGGGAGCCCCGGGACGCCTCCGGCTGCGCCCGCCAGCGCTGCCCCGCCGGCACGGACCCCGCGCCCGCCGAGGTGAGCACGGGCGGGGGCGCGCCCCGGGCGGGGAGAGGGCGGCCAGGGGCTCTGGAGGGCCAGTCTGTGCGAGGCTGGATGTCACAGCCTTTCTCCCGCTTCTTGTCTTTCTTCGAAGGTGATGGTAAGGGGACTTGCGGGAGCGTTTTGGAGGTGATGTTGTATCATCTCTCTTAACTGAGGTTTGCCTTCGGGTCTGGGACTTTGGCCCTGAAAAGGCATGGAATAGGTTGGGGGAGGAATGGCCACACGAGGGGGAAAGCGCAGCCCGAGTATAAATGTGTATAAATCTTGCAGTTTCTTCTGCCTTCCCGGTAAGCCTCGGTGTGCGGGGCAAGACCTCCGCAGGTAAAATGGCACAACTGGGAGCCCCTCTTCCTGCCTCCTGGCACTTTTAATAGCCAAGCCACCTGCACTGATGTAGAGGGGAAATTATTCCGCGCACTCCACCCCCCGGCTCGCGACAAGCCTTGCCCTTCTCACGGCTTTTTGTGTTATTTTTTTTCCCCTCCATGCTCTGCACGTCTCAGGCCGCACTCCTGAACGGGAAATGACTGTGTGGCTGAACAATTCCAATGGCCTCAGGGCTAAAAAGCTGGGGGGTGAAACTGGTTATGAAGTGGAAAATGAGGTGGCTGCGGACAGGGAGTTGATTAATAGCACGGGATTTCTACAGTGAGTTTTGCCCGTACTGCTGACCCCTTTGGTGTTGATGCAGTGACACGGGAGGAAATCTCTCTCCCTTCATGTGTTACATTTATCACATTTCTACTGATTCTTTTATAGTTAGATGATAGCTAAAAGTTAAACCAGTATTCAGGTCCGGTGTTCAGGCAGGGTCTGGTGCATATTACTGACAGGTGCTCAGAACTGCAGTCCTCCTGTGCTGACTGAATCCCCTATGGCAGCTTGGATAAACTGATTGCTGAGCTGAGGAGACACTTGTATTTGAAATATGGAAATAACGTTTCACTTGTCTTCTTTGTTTGCACTGAATGAACAAAGTGCAAACACTTTACTTGCATTTATATCTACAGCTGAAAGTCTTCATGTTGAGTAATTGTTTTTATTCTTAAAAGGCATTTCAGGTGGAAATATACAAAGTCTCTGAAATGTTGTGAATTCTAGTCTGGATCCACCTATATCTGGGAAATCACTTGATCCTGGTCTAAAAAAAAAAACCAAAAAAACTCAGGAAAAACCTCAAAACCCCCCAAACCAACCATTTGACATCTCGGTATAAATTTTAGCTTCATCAGAATTACAAGTGGATATGGGCACTAGAAGTGAATATTTATTTTTTGTATAACATTTAGTGTCAAAACTGTCTCTGATGTTGGTCAAAACATACAGATATATGCGTGAGGCTTATAGTCTTGACTGCATTTAGCAATTGGCTCAGTTGTTCTCTTCCCACTGAGTTCTAAGGACTTCATAGCTCCCATTATCTTCACTGACAGTTTCATATGTTTGATACTTAGCATTGAAAATCAAGCTGCTCTTTAAGAAGCGGCTGTATGCATGTAAGAATGAAGTTTTGAAAATCTGAGCTTGTTTGAACAAAGTGGCTGCTTCCTGTTTTCCAAGTTCCTAAAGTAAGAGTACTGCACCTGAAAATATCTGACTCCCAACTTGTTTATATGCCTAAGGGAAAAAAGAACTAGTTTTGTATAAATGCATAACTGTAAATATATAAATATGGTTTAGATAACCATATAAATATTTTAACTGATATGAAAAGGACCGATATCTGGGAGAGGCAAGGGAGTCAAAGACAGTAGTGAATAAAGACTATTAAGAATGATGAAAAAAGGCATGTGAAATGGAAGATCCAATAGAAAGGTTTTAAAGTCAGTCTATCAAAATAAAGTTGATACTGTAATTCAGAGAGTGAGACAAACTACTTATGTTCAGGAGAATGGGGGAGAAGGAAAGATGCATTTTAACAGTAAATGAAATTTCAGAATTAATTTTGTAAATAAAGTTGTCATTTAGGGGTCAGTATCAGACATTGTGATACAATGTCTTTCTCCGAAAAAGCATAAGGTTTTTGCTAGAGGGGAAAAGCTGTAATTCTTATCTCTAGCCTTCAGAAATAATTTGGTATGATGACACAGGGGGAAGTTATTAGCTTAAGTGGAGGAGATGGGGATTAATAGAAGAATGGTAAGATAGACAAATGACAAAAGAGAATGTGACAACATAGTGGTGAAGAGGGGTCTGTTAGATGGTAGGTATTTTTACTAGAAGAGTTGATGACAGAGGGAATTAATCTAATGACACAAAGTAAAATTGTGTGTTAGAAGTAGTAATAAAGTGGGTATAAAACCTGGAAGAACAGCCTTTGAAATCATCAGAGGAGGAAAAGATATGGTTATACTAACCAATCACAGTGTAACCATGGGCCTATTGAATTTTGCAATCAGAGTTGGTAAGGTTGGAAGGGACCACAGTGGGTCATCTAGTCCGATCTCCCTGCTCAAGCGAGGTCATCCTATAGCACGTTACACAGGATTGCATCCAGATGGTTCTTCAATATCTCCAGTGGGGGAGACTCCACACAGTAAAGAAGTTCTTCCTTATATTCAGATGGAACTTCCTGTGCATCAGTTTCTGCCCATTGCCTCTTGTCCTGTTGTGTGGTACCACAATGGCCAGTAGTACAGAGAATATTGATCTTTTAGAGATCTGACTCAAACGTGAGCTTTATTAATCTGTTCCAGTGCCATTGTAATTACCTTTCTGCACTCCAGAGTCTGGCATTTGCAAAGGAAAAGCGAGCTGAGATTCCTCTACTCCAGTTGTGTCAATTTGTCTGTGAAATGTCGACCACTGGAGTAATATGGTGGAAAGTGCTAAATGCCTCTACATAAGGCTTTGTTATGGGTACATTCCGCCTTTTAGGTGCAGTTGTGGTCACCCATGACTGTGAAGGGAGGGAGAAAGATAAAACCTGACTCTTTTATGTGATGTGCTCTGAAGCTGGAACAGGTGCAGAGGGAGAGTGGTGAGCTTTTTTTAGAAGACTAGAGGAGCCCCTTATCTCTAGCCTTGCAAAATCAGGTCTTTAAGGAGAAGCTTTTGATATCTACAAATACATCAAGGGATAAATATGAAGGAGGGAAAAAAATAGCTAAACTGAAGGGCAATAATCTTCAAGAATGAACAGATACAAGCTGGTTCTGATTGTATTTATGTTGGTAACTGGAAAGCAGCTCGTTAGAGGGGTGAGGTTCTATAACAACAGGAACAGTGGGAGCAAAACTGCATGCACAGTTCTAGGGAAGAGAGTGTTCATTTATGAAAGGGATTATATGGTGCAGTTGTCCATAGTGATAAGGATCAAGGTGCAATGATTCAGGACATCTATCCCAGTCTTAGACTTCTTATTCAGAATAGGGTATTTTAGTTCAACCAGGAGTTATGGACTATATGGGAAAACTCCTTTTGCTCTGGCATAAGTTGTGTGGTACAGTTTCATTTTACTTTGTGTCGTTAGAGTTCATCCCACTCATTTGTATGTCCTTTTTGAACTTAAGCTTTATGAATAAAGACTGAAATTTCTTTATACCTGTATGAAAGAGAACAAGTTTTCATGTAAGAGATGAATTATTATGTACCAAACAGAGCTAGCTGTAAACAAACTTATGGTGGTGTAGCATCCTTCCATGACTTAGTGCCCTCTTTTGGCTTGGGAAGGACTGACAGCAGTACCTTAGGGGGAAACCTCCAGTGTTGTGATGTGTACCAAAGGTTAACCTGGTTAAATGCATGGCAAGGAGCTAGGACTAGAGATTAGATCAATGTACTGGATGGGCTGTGGAAAAGGTTGGCCTCTGTTTCTGTAAAGCTGTAAGTGTGCTGCTTGTAGAATAATGGTCTTCTGACCTATTGCAGAATGTTTTCAGTGATTCAGTACTGGCCGTTGCCTTGCCTTCTGACCTGGAATAGTATTCCGTAATTCATTGTAAGCATAGGCAACTTGCTGTCTGGGAAAATTTCTATTATTGAACAAAGCAAGCTGTACATAAAATAACTTGCAAGTAGTTTTTGTAGTTAAAGTATAAAATGTGTCTTCCTTAACTCAGAACATCAGAGATATAGCTGAATAGAGTGGCTTGCTGTGTTATGTATACTCACACTATTATGTATACTCGGGGTAACTTGAATCTCAAGTCTTAGGAGCAAATGGCAGGTGGGTACAACGAGAAGGACATCTTAAACTTTTCCACTCTGCAAAGGCAGATGTAAAGGCAATGAGGCTGAGTGACTTCATTGTTCTCTCCCAAGTCTTGGTCTGTTACTTGGTCTGTCACAGCCTGGGACTTGCAAGTTTGTCTGTGAGCAGGTGAGAAGCTCCTTTAACCAGTCAGGATTTTATTGTTTTGATGAATTTGAGCTAATAGCTTTCCTGGCTTTGTAAGTGTTTGTTATTGTAGGATAATACAGCTGGCTGCTGGACTACACACTGAGCTGATGTTAAAAACCTTTTTGTTCACAAATACCTTATTACCTGCATTTTATGTATCTTTTACAGTAAGCACAAAGTATCTGAGATGTCTAAACAGTTACTGAGTAGGAAAATAAAACGACTTCACAAACTACAGCTTTCTCCACTTTCTGGATTTGTATATATTGCTTGATGTCTACAAGGACTTCAGTAGAGCAGCATGTTTTGTCTTCAGCCTTAACTTATTCGTGGATGAGTTCTCTTTATGTTTTAACAGAGCAATTGTTTAGATACTGGGGCACTTCCACTCTTACTATGACTGACTGTATCAAATAGTTAGGGATTGGGAATAGTGTTGCCTCATACATCACATCATCTTAACACAGTCTGCATGAGATAAGGCACTGGTGCTCCTAGTTGGAAAATCATGTGTGTGATACGAGTTACATTTAGGAAGTTTTAGTGACTTGAGAGTTTAAAGCCATACCAGTACAAAGAAGGGAGAAGTAAAACTACTCCTAATCTCTGGGTAGAGGCTGAGCAAGAATGTAAGGGTAGCAGTAAGGCTGTTTCTGGCATATAACGTATGATGCATTAGTAAATTATTTACTCACTCTACAGGTAAAAGTTTATCCATTAAGAGTAACCTCTGGCAGAGGGCAATATCAATAACTCGGAATAGTACCACTTCATCTTCTGCTTGGGGAAGAAGTGGCCTTTATTACCAGTTCTGTAAGATGGACCAAGGAAGACTAGACACAGGGGGTGATAAGTTTGTCCTTCTAAAATTCTTTTTTTTTTTTTCCTTTTTTTATTGTAGGTTTTTTAGAGCACCTCAGATGACATCCTAAATGGATGATTAACTTCACAATGGCAGAACTCACACTTGAGAATGGCAGCTGTATGGACTGGCAAAAGCGATGCCTTGCGTTGGAGTCCCAGCTCTTCAAATTCCGCTTGCAGGCAAGCAAGATCCGAGAGCTGTTAGCTGAGAAGGTGAGGCAGTGGTGATTACTTCTACTTTGCAATAAGTTATGACATGAAAGCAAAAATCTGTTAAGTGCTGAGTGATCCTGTAGAACTGTTATATGCAGTAAGGATTTCTTCCTTGATTACAGTATGTTTTTGCACTCTGCTTATTACTCAAGATGCAGAGATGTGCCTGTCTGAGTGGTGAAAGTGGCATTAGTGAAAATAAGAATTTGGCCTTGTTTTCTGCAAAATCACCGTGTATTTGGACTCTGGTGGAAAAGAGTATATCATCAAGATTCTGGATATCTAAAGTGACTGAGGCAGCTACAGAGCAAAGATGGATGCTGTGGCTTAGAACAGTGGGACTGAGACTTGGCTGGCAACAGAAAAGCTTACAGGAGTGCAAATTATGCTATAATGTTAAAAAACTAGACAAGGATACATGTATTGCCATAGTGTTAGAGTAACGTTTCATATCCAGTCAAAACATTCTGGGCATGCTGAGGAGCAGAGCCAGATATTTTGAGATCTAAATGTTAGAAACTTGCATAGCATCTGTGGTTTTAGAGACATCTCCTACTAATCCCTTTCAAGTGCACTGAGTTTGCGTCCTAGGGGAGAGGACTGGCAAAGAGGGTTTTGTTGTAGTTTTCTCTTTTGTTTGTTTTCATCATGGTGTGAATTTTTTGTGTCTTTTCTTGACCTTAGATTGAGTTGGTTTTCAAATTAATGCTTTTCCACTAAATTTGTATAAAATCCAAGTTCGTAGGTTGCTGTGGGGTTCCTTCTTTTTTTTTCCAAATGTAGCTTACATTATCACATTCCAGTCCAAGATTGCTCAGATATTCAATTACTATTGGAAAGTGAGAACAGTTTCTTTCAGTCACAGTTTACTAATGATATTAAAATCTGTACAACTAACTGCAGTTTACTGCCGCAGTCCGAGTGGGAAAGGACTGACAGCACTCAGGGGGTTCGCAGTCTGCAGCAGGTTTATTGATGGTGCAGGAGGCGTGAGGGCGCTTCCTGGCGCTGAGCCGCGAGGGTGCTGCCCAGAACAAAGGGCGAACAGGACTTATATAGGGTTAAGGAAGGAAGGGTCTAGAAACTGGGAGGAGTATGTGATTGACATAAGGGGAGAACCAATAAGGGAGTAACAGAGGGAATACATTAACTTTTAACCTATAGGATGATCTGGGGGGTGTGGTGAGACCGCCTTACTGCGGCAAAATCCCACCAATCATAACTGGGGATTCAACAGCCAATCAGGGGAAAGGGTTCATGAGGGAAAACTTATAAGGGAATAAAATATGAATTTACAACTGGGGTACAATGGTTTTAACATGCATTAACATTACTAATGGGGGTGAAACAACATTGTCCATGTCAAGCAGGTTCAAAGGTCTGTTCACAGATGTCCATTCCAGTGTGTAAGTCCATAGTTTTAAACTTCATCTTCATTATGTTCTTTGTAGATCTGTCTCCACTTGTGGTATAGTCTCTGTTTCTGTTTGGTGCCTTCCACATCTCCCCCTTTTTTGTTTGTTTGATGTGAGGCTATGTCGAGGACAGGTAAGTCAACGGATATCACAGCAGAGTTAGTAGCAGGGAGGCAATACCTTTTGAAACAGATGAAAACACAAGACAGAACACAAGTAATAACAATAACAGAGAGTAAAACTGAAACCGCAATCAAAATTAATTGTTTGGTCCAATTGGGGAGGGACCCCCAATTGAGTCCTTCAAACAAATCTTTGGAACTCCACTTTGAGTTCTGTTTTATATCATTAACTAATTCGTGTAATTGTTGAATATTAGACCAGATTGAGGTAGAATGATCAGAAAAATTAAGGCAACACAAACCTGACTGGATCTGAGGTGGTTCAGACCAGCGGGGGAAGCTGCAGCTCCCCAGTGACCCCTGTTAAAAAACCGATGTGAGTTTTATTCCCCATTGTATCATGACATCCCTTCCCCACAACGTGAGGGGGATGTCGAGAATAAAAGGACATACTGAAGCTGATTGTTGTTCTGGTCCTGTGATGTGTACAACCATATTACTCTGTAATGGAAATTGTGAGCCCCCCACCCCACTGATGTTAATTAGTGTGGGGTTTAGAGGCCAGGTGGAAGGCCAGTCTTTTTTTGCTATTATAGTAACGTCAGCACCTGTATCCATAAGGCCTGTCACTTCCACGCGTGATGGACTTGTGATATCTGAAGAAGATAAACAACACGTTAAAAGTGGTCGGGACGTAATTGACTGGGTCCAATACACCTGAGGCGTTGCTTCTGATAAGGCAGTAAAGGAAATTAGCTGAGCAATCGGTTCATCACTGGTTACATGAACAGGGGGAGAAGAAACATTAACTGAAATAGAGAAAACATCCGTTTTTAAAATCATACATAACACAGGAACAATAAAGACACCTTTGGCTATCCCGGATTGGGTAGAGATAACTAAATAAACATCATTGTAAGGTAACATAGAGGAAGGAACAACATCAATTATTTGTGCTTCGTTTAACAAAATAGTGGAAGGAGAGGAGGGGAATAACTGAATCCAGGGTAACAACATATCAGAGGGGGGGGAAGATGATTGTTCATCTAAGCCATTGAGAACCGTTTCTGATTCATTGGGGAATTTGGTGTCGGAGCGCCCCCCCTGGCGCTCTGCTGGAAGTTTCCCGACTGATGTAAATTGTCCTGTGATTTAAAGGAGACCTTGCGCTGCAAATTGGGTGTTTTAGGTGGCAAGGGATTGCCATAGACATCAGTAACAGATTTACAGTCTTTTGTCCAGTGGCGTCCCTTGCCGCAGCGCAGGCATGGGGTTTTGGGTAAAACAGGGATAGGTTTGTTCTGGAGATCAGGGCACTGTTTCATCACGTGGCCCTTCTGCTTACAATGAAAACAACGATTAGGACCAGAAAGAGCGGCAGCTAGGAGGTTGGCTTTGTGAGTGTTTGAATTAATGTTTCTGCAGGCTTCGATCATATCTATGATCGTGGGGTTTTTAAGCAATATCAAAGCTTTCCGGCACTCCTGATTAGCATTCTCGATAGCAAGTTTTTGAAATAAAATGTCTTGAGACTCCTTTTGGGAAACCTGTTTAACGATTGCCTCTTTGAGGCGGGAGATAAAGTCAATGAATGGTTCGTCTTGTCCCTGTTGGATTAGGGTAAATGAAGGAGTGGTGGTATATGCATCCGCTACTTTTTTAATTGCTTGTAAACCCAAATCCTGGGAGATTTGGAGATATTCCCTTCTAATTCCGATTTGCTGTCGCTTGTCGGTAAAGGGGCCTTCCCCAAACATAACATTAATTAGGTGATCTGTAGGGGCCTTGCGCTTAGGTAACTTTTCGTTAACATGTTTAACGATTAAATTCTTCCACTCACTTTCGAAAACCGAGTATTGTATAGTAGTAAGGAGCCCTTTCGCTACTACACGCACATCATAGGGTATTAATGTATGTACCTGGAATAAGGTATCTAAAAGTCCCAGTGTGAAAGGAGCTCCGAGTCCATAGTCTGTGACTGCTTTTTTAATGTCCCGCAAAATTGGATAGGAAATAGGAAACCATTCCGGAGCTGTGTTGGGATTGTCATAAAACACGGGAAATGCCCGCAGAAATTCCGTATCCCCTGCCTGCATAGCTTGGGCCTTGCAGGCCTTCCAGATATCAGGGGTTTGTAGGTTACCGGAGTGGTGGGCCCGGTGTTTACCATGGGTGCCGCCATCTTTGCGGGAGCAAGTCACGCGAGAGAAAACAACGTCGCGTCCGGATAGTTCGTCATTACAAGAGGGCGTCGATGACGTTAGGGAAGGGTGGAGCTACTAGAGGAGGGCGTGGCCAGGGGACTACGAGGGTGCCTCCCATTGCCGGCGTCACGGCCGCGCGCTTTCCATTTCCGCGCGGCGCGTTCCCCCGCCCTTAGCTTCTCGCGCCACCCGTTGACTCCTCCCTTCTCCCTCAGCCGCGTCGTCATCTTGCGCCCACGAACAAGAAGGTCCCAAATCAAGGTGTCCCCCGCCATTTTGAGCGCGCCGCGGTGATGTATCATGCGGCTTGGAATTCTTAATCTTCATCCGGCTCTGTAGAGCCGTCAGAACAAGCCTCCACGCAATTAGCGCTTCACCAGCCGTAGAATCTCCTCGCTCTTTTTCCACCCAGAGGGAAAAACCAATTTTGTCCCAGTCTTTGACGTTAAGCACCTCCGGGACTTGCTCGCCTTTTAAATGCAACCACTTAGCCAGGGTCTTTAACGCTCTTTTGTCGACGGGATGGCTTGTCGGCAGTTGTGCGAGCATGGCCTTTAAGTGGTGGTAAATAGCTTTCTGCGGTGCCGAGAGACGGGCTCCCATGGTGTTAAAGTTGCACACACAGAGGTTGCGGGGATGAGAATCGGGGAAGGAGGGAAGGGACTTCCTCAGCCGCTCACCTGGCTCCGCGCAGCAGAACGAGGTGCGTTTGAGACCGCCGGTCACCGACCCGTTGCTCGCCGTCCAGCTGAGGGTGACTGCCGGGGAGGACGCCTCCAGCCGCTGCGCCTCCAGTATCCCAGCCGGGCACTCTGGAGTTTCCTCAATGTGAGGAACCTACTACAGAGCCCCACGTTGGGCGCCATATGCCGCAGCCCGAGTGGGAAAGGACTGACAGCACTTAGGGGGTTCGCAGTCTGCAGCAGGTTTATTGATGGTGCAGGAGGCGTGAGGGCGCTTCCTGGCGCTGAGCCGCGAGGGTGCTGCCCAGAACAAAGGGCGAACAGGACTTATATAGGGTTAAGGAAGGAAGGGTCTAGAAACTGGGAGGAGTATGTGATTGACATAAGGGGAGAACCAATAAGGGAGTAACAGAGGGAATACATTAACTTTTAACCTATAGGATGATCTGGGGGGTGTGGTGAGACCGCCTTACTGCGGCAAAATCCCACCAATCATAACTGGGGATTCAACAGCCAATCAGGGGAAAGGGTTCATGAGGGAAAACTTATAAGGGAATAAAATATGAATTTACAACTGGGGTACAATGGTTTTAACATGCATTAACATTACTAATGGGGGTGAAACAACATTGTCCATGTCAAGCAGGTTCAAAGGTCTGTTCACAGATGTCCATTCCAGTGTGTAAGTCCATAGTTTTAAACTTCATCTTCATTATGTTCTTTGTAGATCTGTCTCCACTTGTGGTATAGTCTCTGTTTCTGTTTGGTGCCTTCCACAGTTTACCATACCTGATGACAGATATTTTCTGAACTCACTTTTGCTCTATTTTGTATTATGTAACTTCTATGTGTGTATTCTTGTTTGTTGATTTTGGATGTAAAAACATCAAAATGACAGCTACTTCAGAGGAGTAATTTTCATCCTTGCTTTCACTGTAATTACATTTTTAGTAATGTCATATAATACATGAGACATTCATTCTACCCATCACATTTTAAGAAATTATGCAATTTTAATCACCCTCTTCTTCTCTTCAAGGTAGCTTCTGAGATGGACCTTGGTGATTACTTACCTTGAAAAACATTGAAAGTAGTTGTAAAGTCCATTTAGGTAAAGGCACATTAAAAAAAATCATTTATAGATGTGGCCCAGGTCTAGTAAAGAGAATCAGTATTCATTTGCTGTGTTATGGAATCTGTGTCCTTGTGCTTTCTTAATATCTGTTTTGAGAAACTTCTTGACTACCCCCACACAAAACAAACCTACCTAGCAGACTTTCTTTCTGGAGAACAGACTTGCTAGATATATTTTGACTATCTCTTTGGGGAGGGGGTCCCTGACAGAGAATGAAATTTTCATCTTCTTCAGGGGGCTCCTCAAGGAAGGGACCTGGCTGCCATTTATCCAGCCTCTCAGTCAAAGCGATGTTCCCTTTGTTAAAATTAAGGAGTAGCTTGGTTCAGTGATCAGGTTATTCTGTAACTACCTGTACAGCACTGTTTGTAGGCTTACTTGAAGGGTCAAAGAGCTAGCAGGCTTGCAATTCCCTACGTGGAACGTCATGTGGGAAGGGGAGAGCCTCGGGGACTGTGGGGCAGGTCCAGCAGGCCCTCCTGCTGCAGGTGAACTCAAGGCACCGGAGCAGTTGCTCAGCACGCAGTGCTCATGCTGAACACTGTTGTTGGGAAGTGCCCTCTCACTCAGGTTCCCAAGTGGTCTGTAGCAACTTGCTCAGAGATCCTCCTTCCCTTCTCAGCCACCACAGGGCTCCCCAGCAGTCACAGCAACTGCACTGCGTCCTTCTCCCCCTCAGGTGGGCAGTGGTACAAAACTGAAGGAGGTACATGGTTCATGCATAGTAATGCCAGCTTCAGGGTTTTTTATCATAGCATTTTTATAGCAACTGTGATTTTTAATCTTTTTCCCTTACTGTTCTATGTGTGAGAATCAAGAGATTCAGACTTACTTGAGAGTACTGCATTTCAAAAGAGGTTTTTTGGGGTAGTGTGGGGGGATGATTTTGGAAAAATGTGAAGTTGGCACGGTTTGAAGCTGTGTTGCCAATCTGTGGTGAACATTGTCCTGAGATCCTCCCAGTATTGTTTGCAGCAGCAGGAAAATTATTTTTTAAAAAAGTGATTTAGATGATGAAAGTGAAGAACAGTGTTAACAGTGGTGTGATACTTGATCACCAGCCAGGTTGTCTCAAGGGTTTGGAAGTTACTGATTGAAAGGCTTGGAAACCTGAGCCCCACATTTTAAATTATTTTTTATAACTAATTTTGTTACTTAAAGACAAGTTTTACTATTTTAACTCACTAAAAATGCCAACCACTCGTGCCTGGCATTGGTAATACAATGTGCTCTAACAGTTTAAGTACTTGAGATTTTTTAAATCCGCTTAGATTGAATAATCTAGATCGCTGTTCAGAACATGAGGAATTTAAAACCCAGTGATTTAACTGCCAGTGCCCTGGTTCACATGGTGTGAACTTCCACGTTGATAGCCTGGTCTCAGCCATTGAGCAGAGCTGCCCAAGCTGGGCAGAGCCTGGCTGTTGGTCAGCATGGCAAAAAGACCCAGCCCCTGGTCTCCCAGACAGAGCCCTGCCAGCCTGCTGGACCTCCTGGGGGCACAAGACCCCTGGGTCCTACCTTGTTGTGGACATTAGCAGGGATCTATTCTCTTTGGAAACAGGCAGTTGTTTTCACTCTGTCTTGCACACACACACTGGAAAGGGATACTCCGCTGTTGGTGAGCGGCATAGTAGGTCGTTGCCTTGGCAGCAAGTTGGCCTGGTTAGGAGTGAGCTCTGGGACAGAACTACGGGAGGAAAAGAAAGCTGAGACATGTAGGAATTTTTTCACTCAATTTTATGTAACCTCTTCTGAGCCATCAGGAGAGGGAAAGCCTCTGTGAATGGTTGATCAGAGGATCTTTTGCAGCTTTTAAAAGGGCCATCTGGGTAAAATTTAACATGCTTCTGTCTTACTTCAATAAACAATGAACATTTGGAAAAAGGCTCTTTTGTCTCATGCCAGCATGGCCATTCAGCTAGTCTTGTTTCTCCCATACAACCTGTCTGGGCTGATGTTTGAGAGAAGAGTTTAATGAATTTGGCTTGGTCACTAATTTTTTTATATGACCTGGGTCATGTTGCTTAGTAGCATTTGTCAAATCATAAAGCATTTTGAATGAAAGGACCCATGTAAGTACCAAGCATTATTATTAATTCATTGAGGGATTTGAAAGAGCCTTACAGGTATGGGTGTATTAAATCTGAATGTGCTCCAGTGAGACCACTGACAGTGGGGATGAGCGAAATAATAATTTTGTGTACATGAGAAGCACAGTTCATGGTAGATGGACAACCCAACAATGCAGTACAGGAAGTTAAGAAAAGTACAAGTTCATTTAAGTCTTCAGAGGGAATGAGGGTGACAAAAGTAATTGATTTGACTGGAACTTAGCCAAGTCATCCTGGTTGCAAAAGAACTTTTTAGTGATCGGGGATGGTCCCATCAATAGATGATTCGCTATCCTGATCAGGATCTAGAACTGCTAGCAATGCAAAGCAAACTGTCATGAGGTTGAGACAACAATGAGTTTTTCAGTCAGAACAATGCTGTCTTAAAAAAACCTGAGTCTTTCATGGAGCTTGCCCATCTTTGAAAAAAGGCCCAGAGTTTCATCTGTGCTGTGAATGTAGACCTTGTTAATTAATCAGAAAGCTAACGGATATCGTTGATTCTGAAGCTACTGTCCTAAACAGCCTTTGTTTCACAAAGTGTGTTATGTCTCCATAATAGTTATGTTGGCATCTGTCTTTTGCCAATATATTTTGCTGCTACCTGTCTGTGATGATGACTATCCAGAGACTAACAGATAAATGCGTGGGTACATCACATGTACAGCACATGCATGTGTTCCTAAGGGACACATAGTTGTGTTGTAACACAGACCACTGCTCTCGGTGTTAGATTGCCTTGAGCTCAGTCTCCTCCAAGGCTCTAATAGTCTTTGGTTAGAGCGGCTTTGTCTGTGCAATCTTCTGTGGCATCTCTCTGATCCTCAGCCAAGCAAGCATCCTTGATTTGGATATTAAGCTACATAGTCTGTGGTATGCATAATTGCTCTACTGAAAAAGTAAACCTGAGAGGTATCATGCTAAATGTGTTACTTTCTGATCTTCATGGTTTGAATTTATGATTGCTTTTTTAGTTACATGACTACTGAGGTGTCTACATATATGTACCTTTCTGGTATGTTGATAGGTGTCAATCTGCTCTTATGATCAATGGGTGCAAATGGAAAGAGGAGTTGTTACTGTCTGAAGGAAGGGAAATGGAAACACAGGAAATCCTTCCACGTCCATTCTGGGTGATCAGCCCAAGAGGAATACATTTTCAGAAGTACTGGTTTGGTCCTTTTAGTGACCAACCTGAATACTTGGCTACAGTGCTTTATCATGAACGAAAAAACCCACTGGCGAGAAAAGGAGCTCAGTTCCCTTTATAGTTAGTTTTCTATTTGAAGCTTGATTATTTTAATCTTCTGAAGGTACTTCTGTGTCATTCTTTCTGTAGTAAAACACAAGTAGGTGCTGGAAACTCCATGAAGCATTCTTCAAATTTTGCAGCTTAGTGGATGGTACTTAGTGTCACTGACTTCATAATACTGGGCTTAAATCTGAGACCTGTCGAAGTGGGGCAGATGTTGAAAGATGACCTTGAAAACACAGAATTAGGTACTAGATTGCTTTAAAGAAAAAAAAAAAGAACACATCAAAAAATGAGCTTTAGTGATAAATTGTTAGAGGAACCCCAGGTATAGGTGCTATCTATATTTCATGAGAATGTACTTGTTTATGTACATTTAGGATAAAATTCTATTCAGTGCCTTTTGACTTCAATAGTACCAATGCTCAGATGTCAAATAACAGAATCGCCAGTTTGCAAAGCTGTTTAAAATGCAAAGAAGCATAGGAAAGTTAAGATCATTGTTAATCTTATGAGTTATGAGCCTATGAGATGCTTTTGAAGCCAATGCAAAATACTAATCTGTTGTAATGTGGCATCATAGAGAACCTGCCATGAGCTTTCCAAGATGTATTAATTTTTATTTACCATTGTGAATGAATCCTAGCTAAAATAAAATCAGGGAAGAATGGTGCACTGTAGACAGGCTTCTTGCAGGGACAGCCCATGGTGTGTAAATTGTAGAGACGAGGTCAAGACTTTGGGACTATTTCTTTGACCCATGTAATGAATGATGAAGCTCACTAATGAGGCAACAGTTCCGGTAAATTCAAAGTAGGGCATTAGACTGGGAAAGATCAAAGGCTTTTTTTTTTTTTTTTTCTCCTGGTCAAAGCTGTCCAGTTAACCCAAAAGATACCAAAGAAGATCTGTAGACTTGCACAAGAAATGGAAGATTCCTCAGTAAAACAGGTGAATTTCTAGGTGATATTAATTTATTTTCTTTCTTTCCCCCTCTTCCATCTTTCTTTTTGGGCTCTGAAGATGCAGGAATTGGAGCAGAGAGTGATAGAAGCAGAGCAAAGAGCTGAGGATGCAGAGAAACAGGTAAGAGATTTTTTTTATGGTTGCTCTGGTACAAGTCCACCAGTAACTCCCTCTAAATTCCTTCTGGCCTGGCATACAGATGGCACTCTGCAGTGCTATGCCCTGCTAGGGAAACACTGATTTACAGTAGTGAATGGATTTTCTGGTCTACTTGCCAGTCTTTGAGCCATAGCTGTGAACAGGTGCCTGAATATGTTGAATCCTAAGTGAAAACTAACGCCTTAGATCTGCCTCTCAGCATCACAACCTTTACCCCCTAGTCCACGGTAGGCATGCTTGGTTATGGAACAGGAAGGGGATGTTGTAACTCAGGATTAAAGCACAGAGATAGAGCTGCCTGGCAGGTCCTCAGAAAACAAATACTTAAGAGTACTGGTAAGGACTTGTCTGCAAGTAGAGAAGGTTCTGTGAAAGAAGTAGGTTTTGCAGACACACCCTTATCACTTGTTTTGGACTTTCTTTTTAGTTAATTACTGCTCTGGCTTAAGAGCCCGTGAAGAAAAACATGAGTTGGATTCATTGCCTGTTACTGGAATCATCTACAAATTAGCTAGTCCTTCTATGCTTCTTGAATAATGGAGAAGGGGAGAGACAGTGAGACTTCATCTTGTGAACAGGCTATAAAGAATAGGGGACCTTTGGGAAGCAGACTGTTGTACAGTCTGCACTGCAAGGAGTATTACAGAAACAGAAGAGCCAAGAAGGGCCAGGTAGTCTGGGCTCTTGCATCACTGCAGAAGAGGTTTAAAGTGAAGCAGCTCCCTCCAGCTCAACAAAGCTGCAGGACTGAGCATTGAATCAGATTAAAGCACAGAACTAAAAGCCATACAGGATGGCTGAGAATGGCTGTCAAAGATGAATTCAGTAGTGAAGGACTGAATAGGAAGTGTTATAAGCACTGGGAAACATATTGCCTAGGAATCAAGAACTTGAAGTACTGGGAAAGGTATTCTGTCTGCAGAACATACTTTTTCATGCCAATTTGATATTGACATCAAAATCTTTTACTGACCATCGTAATTATAGGAAAGATGCTATGTCTAGACACCACACTGTTGGCTTCTATGCTAGATCAGCAACTGCCAACCAAGAATAAGAATTATTCTTGAGAGTGGTATCAGTAAGTTCACACCCAACCAAAACAGGCAAAGGTAACATAATACAGGCAAAAGTGACAGGTGTGACAACACCAGCAGGAAATACAGTTACTACCACAGGCCAGTGAAGAAGGTTTCGTACTAGCAGACACTCAATGACAGGAGTAGAGTGTCCATGATATGGTAAGATGCAATGACAGCAAGGCAGAAGATGGAGAGCAAGTCAAATCCAGGTCCGAGAATGGGCCAGAAAGGGAGAACTTGTTTGGGAAGGTGTAGCAGAAATGAGGGTTGCCTTCACTCACCTGCCACCTGCAGAAATGAGGGTTGCCTTCACTCACCTGCCACAGCAGTTCTGTAGCCATGTGTTGGCAGGTCCTAAAGACTAGCAACCCTCAATGTTTGCCTTTACAGCAGCCTTATCCGCATCCAGAGGTAAGTGTTCCTAGAGAAATACTTCATTGCTGCCTGGCAGCCTGAAGAAGTGACAGCATAAGAGCAGGACCATTCCTTTTCACTAATGAGTACATTCACCATGAATGAGAAGCAGCTGACAAATGAGAGGGCTCCGCATCAAGTGCAAAATCCCTTGTTATCTTTCTCTCCAGGAGTCTGGGGGGTTGGATTTATTAATTCAATGGACTCCCTGTAGCTGCCAACCTCAATTAAGGAAATCACATGTTTGCAGTCCCCTCAGTGAGCCTCTAGTACAGAGTCAGCATTTGGGCATCAGACAGAAAGGAGGGGCTATTTCTTTTTACTATAATCACCCTAAACTCTAATGAAAACACATCCGACTCAGCAGGCTTAGTGTTCTGGCTCAGATGTCGGGTGCCTACCTTTCTGATTCAGTATGAGGAAGAGGCAGTTGGTTTCTCTGCCTAATACAGGCAGACAGGAGGACAAAACATAGCTTCTGCAAGTATGAAGTGTAGGCTGCTTAACAGAGCATGAGTAACTCTCTTGCACAGACTCTGTGAAGTGCTCAGATTGCTGCCTGCATTTTGTCTGTCTGGTTCTAAATTCATGCTAAATTAATGGTATCTGGAGTTGGTTTCTTTACAGATTTAGCTTCTTTGGAAAGAAGCTGGTGTTGGAACCTGAGGTTTTCCCATCATCAAATTCTGCAATTAGCACATTTGAGTTAAGTTTAGGGATTCCATTCATCTTTAGAAATGAAGTCTTTTAATCCACTGCCATAGAATGAAGTAATGGTAAAATGAAGTGACATTACCGAGAGACACAGGTTTTGAAGACAGCAAAGAGGTTTTAAAAATTTTCTGAAAACCTGAAATGCTTCAACAGCAGCTAGATTTTAGTGCATTGAAACTTTGTAGTGAAGGAGCATCACAATGGTGTTTCTCTTGCTGAGATGAAAAAGTTTTGGCACTGGTAGGAGCTCAAAGATAGACAAATCTTCTGAAATATCTAACATGGTAACTCCTTAGTAGGTCTGGAGAAAACACTTGTCAGAAAGATGGGAGTTGCCAAAACACTTTTGGTTTGTTGAAACACAGTGGTTTGTTTTTTGTTGTTTTGTTTTTGTTTGTTGGTTTTTTTTTATCTCCTTCTGATTATTATTATTATTATAGGTCAGAGTTATGGAAGAGAAGATAAAACTAGCCAATGTGAATACTTGTGAATCGGACAGCACCCTGCAGAGGAAATACCAAGACCTGATGGGCACAGTGCAAGGAAAAGAGGATCTGATCAGCAGATTGGAGACACAGCTAGCAAAACAGGTAGGGATATTTTCTATAGGGAGACCTGAAACTTTCATGAGTTAGAGAGATTCTGTAATGCGTGGTTCAAAGGAATGGATTATATCTCTTTGCGTGTCAGCCTCTCAGTTGCCTTCAGATCAGCTGTAAAATGATGCCTGCTCAGTACAAGATCCTCTGTTTCCTTTTCACACAGAACATTCTACCCTGCTTCAATAGTCCATGTCTCTTCATTATAGAAGATTGGTCAATGTGCTTAAAGAGCTTTCTTATGTTAGTGTTGAGACCCTAAATTGTAATGCTACCGTCTGGTCACAGTGTTTCTCTGACTTCCTAGCATATAGATTGCTTTACAAAATCATTACGTAGCCCATTTCTGACTCTGTTTATGCTGCTTCTGGAGAAGGGTCTTCTCCCAGTCTTCAGCAATCCTGTAACATAGTTCATCTTGGAAGAAGTTCTTTGGAGAGAGTTACTGTGCATTGGAATGGGCTGCCCAGGGAGCTGATGGAGTCACCATACCTGGAAGCATTTAAGAAGAGACTGGATGTGGCACTTGGTGCCATGGTCTAGTAGACAAGGTGGTGTTGCATCAAAGGTTGGACTCAGTCGTCTCAGAGGTCTTTTCCAACCTAATTGATTCTGTGATCTCTTGTCAGCTGTCCTCACTGTAAAAAAGCAGCTGTTTCACAATGTGGATACTTCTTAGTCTCTTCCATTTCCAGTTGGTCAAAGGAAGGAGCTAGTTCTACAGCAGGGCTTCTCTTTTGGCTCTGGTAAAGGCCTTCCCCTGTGGTTTTTATACGAGGAATGAGTTATTCCTATGTGTCGCAAAGTAAATTACTTTTAAATAGAAATAACTCAGTAGAATTTTAAAGCAAAAAAAAAAAAAAAAGGCCATTTGAGTTACATTTAACTAATTGTCACCTATTTCAAGGACTATTAGTAGAAATCTTACTGTCCCAGCAACAAGAGGCAAAATGAGATTCTAGAAATGAAAGCCAAAGCTTGACAATTCCAGAGAAGAAACACTCTTTGTCAGAGTCACTGGTTTAGTTTCAGAATGGGATGAGATGGTGGCAATGATAGAAGGTCACTAAGGATCCCTATAAGGCATCCTATTTGTTTTCACTGGGATGGGAAAAGCTGTGGAGTTCAGAGTGTTATTAAGAGAACACTGAGGTCATGTCTGGACCACACAATAGTGTGGGACACAAAGAATCTCTAATTGCCTTTGGATCTTTAAGCACAATAACTGCATTTATGGGTGCTGTGCCTGAGTGAATTGGTTCTGCTTAGAAGCAGGGCTTACTAAGCTTGGTGACAATGACGTTGTCATGCCACATTCTACTTTAGAACCCTAAATAAAATCTTGGCATTGTGCTTTGCCATATAGTATAGTAATATTTTGAATCTTTTACCTCTTGGACCCTGATTTGAGACAAGTCCAGGTCATTAGGGATTCAAAGCCATTTCCCATATGATGGATATTCAGAGATGGTAGATCTACTATATGTGCCAGATCATTTCAGACCTGTAGGCATATCTAGTATTCTAACTCCAGCAGAGGTTGAGACCTGATGATTAGGAACACACACAGTCATATAAAAGGGAAAAAAGCTAAATAAACCCTCTTCTTGAAGCATGTGAAGCATGCATGTATGCAAACATACTTGAATAAGAGCATTTAAATGTGCAGTTGTGGTGATAAATAGCATATGGTAACTAAAAGTGATGTGAAGATGTGAGGAATTTTGCACAGTCTACTTTGCATTTATATGGTATTCATCAGTGTAAAAAACTTAAAGTGGGAGGAAGCACTGACATTTTTATTATCATAATTACCAATATTTGTTCACATCAGAAAAAACAATCTAGCAGGGAAACCACCAAGTGCTACCAAAAGTCTTTACCCATTAATTGGAGAAACCAGAGCTGAATGTGCCATGTAGCATATATTCCTCCTCCCTCCCTCCCTTGCTCCTGGAACCGATTTCTTCTTGCAGATGTTTAAATCATTGTGTAGATAGTAGAGCTTTCAGTGATGTTGGTTCTGATGGAGCTACACAGGAGATAAACAGAAGGCTTCAGGTGTTCGTGGTATTAATCCAGCATCTTTCAAAGGAAATTTTCAGAAAAGTTAAAAACGCAGCTGAGAAAACACAGCTGCAGAAATGATATAGCAATATTGCCCAAGCAGATATTTTGGGGAAAAATGTTCATTGTGCAAATCAACAGTATTGCCATAACACCTTTGTGTGGACTAGAACCTGTTTTAATGGATATGTAAACATACAACCACTTACACCATCTGAAAACCTCCTAGCACGTCTTAGCGTTTCAAGGTCAAGTTTTGGAGCTGGTGTTTTGGTGTTTTGTTTGTTTGTTTGTTTTGTTGGGGTTTTAGTTTACTTTCTCAATGAAAATATTTTGTGTGTGTTAAATATGTTATTAGTATTAGTTTCCATCTTGTGTATCTTGAAATTCTGTGCCCTACACCTGTCCTTACAACAGGTGAATCCCTTTTGCTTGGAATGATTAGATTTTATAAGTCACTTGTAAGCATTGCTTAATTCTTATTAACTGTGGGCAATAATGTGTGTGTGGGCTGGGGTAACACTACAGATGTCAATAGCAAACAGCAACATTGCAAAACCATCTAAACCAGAAAAAGTTGCAGATTGTGCTCAAACTCTGGTAGGTGAGCAATCATTACCTGAGCTGGATTTTGCTATTCCAGAACAAACTCGTGAAACAACCCTCTGAATTTAACTCTAGAGACCATGTAAGACAACTTAGATCTTGATTTTTTCTAAGGCCAGCTAAGTAATGATCTCCAAATAGCTCTCTTAAATCCTATATCTGGAATGGGAGATTCAGCATTTCACTCACTCCTGGTGCAGTAACTTACTGAGAACAGTTAGTTGTACTCTCCTGATGTGTGTAATGTTGGTTTTGGTTTTTTGGCACAGAAACAGCTGAGGACTGAAGAAGCCAAAATTGTTCAAGAGAAAGCTGCCAAAATCAAAGAATGGGTAACGTTTAAGCTCAGGGAGGTAAGTCTTTAGCTTACTGCCAAGTTTCAAGGCCCGTGAGTACGTACAGTGGCTGCACTGCTAGTGGGCTCCTATATAGGACAGTAGTTTGAGGACAGTCAGTCTGCCACAGAGGCTTTCTGCTTGCTTGGCCCTACAAATACTCAGTTGTAGAGCTAGGGTCATCACTCTTAGGTGAGGACTCTATTGGACAAACTATAAGTGACTGTGAAGTCAACAGTGCCCAAAAGCACTCTCTGAAGAAGGTTTATTAGTCACAAGTAGCTTTCACCTAGCTTTCCTCTGCCTCTCCTTTTTTTTTCTGGGGGCTGTTTCTGTCTTTCTGACAAACCAGCTGTAACACAAACATATCCTTTGCTCTGCCTTAATTTACCAACTCTGACTAATGCTGTTTTCCTACTGCCCAGTATTTTCTCATCTCTAACCTCTCTGTCCTATCCATCCTATGGACTTGTGCCTCTATCTGGGCCTACCCTCTAGAAAAACAAAGATAGCAGTGGGTCAGTGTGCAGTTTTAAATATGCAGTAATAGTTAACAGCTGGGAGTGGGGCTATCTGGTGTTTTACTCCAAGTTAAAGACACATATTTCCCAGTTTATGCCAGAAAGGGAATGTGTTAGCGTTGGAAGAAACAGTCTTTGTGGGAAATAATTATGTTATGATGGGACTTTGTAATATCACTGGATTGCCTAGATAATTCACCAAGCTGCTGTGCTGCTTCTCTTTCGTTTTCCTGTATGAGATAACTTAAGGTGCATTTACATTACTGACTGGTGCAGCATAAAGGAGGAAGCACAGGGTAACCCTGTGGTGTGGCCTGCTGTGAATCCAGGACCATACATTCACATTATGTCTTTACTGCCAATGAACTTTGTGCCAGATGCTGATTCTAGGTGCGTACCATGCAAAAGTGGAGCACTGCCAGTTGGAGAACTTGGAGTCTCTTTTGCTAATGGGTTACTCTAGACAGCACCACTGGTGTGGTTTCAGTTTTGCCATCAAGAAGGAAGCCTGTCTGGCTGCACCACTGCTGTTTAAGAATGGATGCTGAGACGCCTCAAGTAAAGGCGTAAGACAAATTTGCAAAGAAACTCTCATCCCTAATTGGAAATGTAAATGTACCCGTAATGTTTGCCCCTTCTTTCACTACATACAGGGTGAGATGGAAAAATGCTCCTTCTGGGTAATGTTTTTTTTTTATTCTCTCTTTCATGACAGTTATTTCTGCAACAGGAGTAAATGATAAACAATATCAGGGGAGTAAGTTAAAAGACCTCTTTGAGAAGTGCAATAGTATATACAGAGGCTGTTTGAGAGAGCAAAGCAAAATGTTTAAGTGGGTTGTCCAATGCAGCTGCTGAGCAGAAGGATTTCAAGGTGATTGGTGGACTCACACATCATTTTTTTCCTTGTTAAGACACTTGAATGTGATAAAGATGAAGACATGTTCTGTATAGTGGATCACATGCACACACAGTTTTGCGTTATTTTTCAGTTTTTATTGTTGTTGTTTCATAGCTGGAGCTAGAGAATTACCACCTAAAAAACTGTAATCAGAGGCTGATGGAGCAAATTGAAGCCCTTCAGGATACATTGCAAGGTAAATGTGTTCACCTGGCATTGTAGCCTAGTAACCACCACAAGAGTGGAAGTTAGCATTCCCAGGTTGTATTCTTAACTTTGTCAGAAATTAACACTTGTAACAGCAAGCCGTGGAATTGCTCTGTTCCTCAATGTATCTGTTTTTAAGATGGGAATAACATGCTTACCTGCCTTAAACTCTTAATTGTTTTCCCACTAATAATTGAACACCGAACCCTTTTCTAAAAATCTGCTTTTGCCATTAAAATAAGCCACTTGTGCTCTTGAAAAGCCTTTATTGAAGTACATAGTAAAACTCTCCATTCACTTCAGTGCTGGACGGGAGAAAACCCCAAGGTATTTCACTCTGCCTCCACATGTGAGTTGTTGTCATCCTCACAGAACCTCTGCTGGCATGTGAGCTGAGGAACTGAATAATCCAAGGCAGTAGATGTTTGGTCTGCCTTTAGGAAGCTGGGTTCTTCTGTGCTATCAGGTTGGATTGGAGAAAGCTGCTTATGGTGTTTGGGCTTTTGCAGTTTTTCTCTGGTGGACAGATGGAAAAATTTAGTCTCCAGGGCCTGTACTCAGCACCTTTCATTGCAACACACTTTGCAGAGGAAATTCTCTCTTAACTATTTTCTTCCTTTTATTTTTTCATGAGCTTGGTTTGGTTACAGTAAGATAGCTCGTTTCCAGAACTTCACTGGGCATGTGGGCAGGGGGCATTTCTTTCCTGCAGAAGTCTTTCTGGCATTCCTGTCACTCCACAGCTAGGGAATAAGGCAAAATTCCTTCTAAATCCTGCCACGTTTCTAGTGAAATGCTTTATGAGTGGCTTTTTCTCATCCCCTCTGGCTCTGACTGTTCACAAAAGGAGAATGCCTGGTAAGCTGCGTTAATAATCTGGTATTAAGTGTTCCCTGGATCCCAGCTCTCTGGGCAGTAAACAGCACTGCCCTCTCCTCTTATGCCTCACTAGTTTCACTATGCCAGGCTGAAGTCAGAGGCCTCTGCAGAGAGACAAATCTCTTCTTGCTTGCTATGCTAATAGTAACAGCTTCCTCTTCTTAATCTCCTGTCACATCCAGGAGGCTGCAAAAATACCAGCAATATTTAAAATGAATGGCCTCTTTTCAGTCTACACTAATGATTTACCTCAGGGTCAGGGGAAAATGTGTGCCAGGATTTGTGTGTGCCGGTGTTACGTGTTAGCTTTGTTAACATTCAGTTCCTTGTGACTCAAGCACCAAGGTCTCATGGTTGCCTTTCTCAGCAGGTTTCATCCTCTCCACTGTCACCAGTAATTTATTCTACTGTTTGCTCTTCCCTCTGTAATTTTGTGTCTTCAGTTTGTTTCTACTTCCTTGTAAATCCCATTGCTGGTTAAGAAATACCTATAAAGTTTGATGTTAAGGCAGCATTTTCAGTGATACCTATGCAGAGTCACACTCACCCATATTTTGCAATTTCCAAAGCATCTAATGATTTGGGGTTTTTTTTCAGTCAGGCAGTATATAAATGCCAGTGTCAATCAAACATTCTCTGACACTCCAAGTTTTATCCATTCTTTCTCATACCCTAAAGCTACTATTCAGAAGAAATTGTAGAACTGAGATAGTCTTTAAATCTGCTGATTATGGAACAGAAGAATTTACAAGAATTATAAAGTGTAGGTATTAAATAGAAAAAGGACAGCAATCTAGGATCTATTTTTTATGTCATCTTCTAATATAGCAACTGAAAAGGCAGAGAAAGAACTAAGAAAAGAAAAAGATTTTACAGCAAAACCGTATTAGAATCTATTATAAAGCTTTGTGGCAAAAAGCACTGTGTGGATCATATAGCACAAAAGGATAGCAAAAAGGTCTAGGGAAACTCTTGAAAAGAGAGTAACCTCATTGATTGGTGTGATGCTTAAGATGATGCTTAAGATGATCTCCATACCTTTCCTGGAAGTCTCATCTAGCCCTCGGGAAGGGGTGGAATCATACCATCTTATTAGATGACTTAAATCACTGTAGGTCCACTAAAGCCAAAAGCAATGCTAAGCAGTTCTGGCCACTTGGATGTTTTTGACAGGATTGTGTGGGTAAGTGCACTTCCTTCTCATGGCTGTTTTAAGAGAGAAGAGACATAATTGTGTATAGGTAAGAGTAAAAACTGTTATATTGCATTAGACTGAAAGCTTGCCTAGGCCAGGATCCCATCTCCTGGTTGGTTGTGGATGTTTCAGGAAAGAGCGTAGGAAATACTGCAAGTAAACCTGTCTTCCTCTCCATATACCCTTCCAGCTTCTGCTGTCAGTAGCTTAGGAAGTTTCTAGGCCAGAGCTTCCGTATTACGATACATTACTTTTTCTGGCGTATCTGTAGCATTGTATTTCCTTTTTTGTCTGGGAAAAAACCTTCCTTCTGTAAATTTCAAATGCACTGCCTGATAATTTCATTAGGCGCCCCTTAGTTCCACTTTTGTAAGAAACAGGGATTAATCATTTCCTGCTCATCTCTCCTATGCTATTCCCAGTTATAAATGTATAGCATTTTTGTTATAACTGTACCCAGCAATCTCTTTCCTGTTCTGTATAGTCCTGACCAGGCCAGGGTGTTATTGAAATACAACTGGCATGAGCATACATTAGGAAGCAACAGTTAAGACATTAAAGCATTTGAAGGCCCTAACCATATGTTCTCCCTTTTAGATATGACCAGCATTCCTCCCTTTGAATCTCTTTGGAACTGTAATTCCCTGAAGCCCAGAGCATCACAGGCCTCTTTTGCTGAGAAGATAGACCAGAAATCTGTGCTCCTTGCACCTGGTTTCAGAGAGTTGTGTCAGACAGGACCTACCAAGCATGTCCTTTCTTCAGCAAATACAGTCCCTGCCAATGACATGTTTACTGAGAATGGAGAGGATAAATCTCTGCTTCCCCAGAGTAAGCTGAAGCTCATGTCTGACCCATCAAGCTGGAATCTCTCCACAGAGGAAGATGTATTCCCTGAGCACAGTTTAGGGTGCTCTGATCCTGTATCAGTGGACTCTCCAGCTGAGACAACAAGAATTCTTGAGGCTTTGACCTTTCAGTCATCTTTGAAAGAAAACTGTAGTGCTGTGAGCACCTTGAAACAAGTGGGTTTCGATGGCATTCGCTTCTCTGATGATCTGAGTGCCAGATTCCACTCCCGCCAGCTTGACTCCTCTTCCTCAGGAGAAATAATGAGCATGCTTGAGGGCCATCTCCAAACTGCTGAACCATCCCTGGTTGTGTCAACATCAGCTGTTACAGCCCATTCCTCCTGTGCAGGGAGGGAATGCAGCCTTGGGAGTAGTATGACCTTTCCAAAAATACGAACACCCAATACACCAAGAGACAGTATCCAACTGGCCAAGAGACATCACAGCCAACCACAGCCAGGGGCCAATTCTTTCCATCGTGTAATGCACTTAGAGACTAGCACTTTCCAGCCCATAACAGACCCTCCAGTCTGCCATGGGCTTGTGGAGGAGACAGATATTGATGATGATGGAGTGTTGGAGAAGATGGATACAGAATGTGGACTGCTGAGGGAAGAAGCTGGAGCATGTGAGGAAATATACCACTTACCTGCAGGGCAGAAAGAAGCTGTGAGTTCTGAGGCTGGCATACTCGACCCAGGTGGTAAACCTCCAACACCACCGCTGCACAGATTCCCATCATGGGTAAGAAATGCAGGGCCAACAGGCTGAGAAGTGCTGCTTATCTTTGAGTAGTGCCCAGTAGTTAGGCTACAACAACTCAAGCAATTGTTACCTGTGGACATCACGGGTTACATTCTTGAACCACCAAGTCTGACAGTTCCAGCATGACAGGGGCATGCTGGTTCCACTGACAATTTTTTTTCTTCTTTTCTCTTTGTAAGGGAAAAAAAAAATAATGGAAAAAACCAGTGCTCAAGAAACATAGGAATATAAATAAAAGGGAAGAGGTGCTGCATTGTGGTTTATCATTATGGGTCATCAAAAGTTAGTCCTTAGTTCTGTTGTCACATGTGTAAGATAGAAAATGACTCATAAATGCAGTGGACCAGATGACATTGCTCCAGAGTGAGAAAAATCTGGGAATACTAGAATAAATACATGGATTAGATCTCAGCATTCCTATCTCATGGTATGATTCTGCTGTTAGGAAAATGTTGTGAAAACCTTTGGTAAAGCGGTATACATGTCCTGTTGCTTACATTATGTGAGAAAGGGGGTTGTTGTTCTTGCTTTCAGTTATTTGTTAGCTGGATTGTTTGCTAGTCATAGAATTGTTTAGGTTGGAAAAAAGAAAAAATCTTCCCCTCAACCACTGACCAGGTTACCTTTTCACAGAAGGAGATCAGGTTGGTCATGGAGGACATAAACCCATGCCAGCTGGGCCTGATCAATTGGCTGTCCTGTACATGCTGTGTGATGGCACTCAGAATGATCTGCTCTATGACCTTCTCTAGCACTGAGGTCAGGCTGACAGCTCTGTAGTTCTTCAGATCCTCCTCTGGCCCTTCTTATAGATGGGTGTCATTTTTGCCAACTTCCTTTGACCTTCCCAGTTGATTAGGATTGCTGGTAAAAATGATGGACAGTGGCTCAGTGATCTCCTGCCTGTAGTTCTTCTAAGTTGCCTGCCCTTTCTTCTGGAGGTCATAAACACTCCTTCTTTTACTAGGTTAAGCCGAAGCTCTCTGTTCAGCCAGGCCGGTCGTCCTCACTGTCTCATCTTTCAGCACATGGGGATGGCCTGTTCCTGCACCTTTAAGGTTTCCTTCTTGAAGAGTGTTCAGTTTTGCTGGACTCCTTTGCCCTTCAGGACTGACTCCCAAGGGACTCTGTCAGCCTTGGCTCCTAAGGAGGCCAAAGTCTGTGTCAGTCTAACCTGGTGAAAATCAATGTAGTGTCAAAAGAGATGATTCTGTTTTTATTTGCTTTTTTAAAAGGCTTAGGCAAACAAATGATTGACTGAAGGTGCAAAGTCAAACACTCATTGTTAATTCTTATGTTTTATAAATTTATTTTCAAGGAAAACTAAGTGTTAATTGTGGTCTTTGACCTTTTGATCCTTTATGATACCAATTTAAACCCCAGTATAATCACATGGAGCCCCTGGTGGTCTAGTGGTAAGGTCGCGGCGCTGTCACCACCGAGACCTGGGTTCGATTCCCAGTCAGGGCCACTCCCGGGCAGATGGAGCTCATTAACCCTTAAAAAGGCAATCCATCTACATCCTAAGGGCCTCGCTGCCACCGTCCAAGCTTGCTTGGCCCTGGCAGATGAGCCTTAGGATTAAAGGGTGGGCTCAGTTCCGTGCACACTGTGTCTCACCTAAAAAATCCAATGCGCAGACTGGAAGGTGTAAAGACCTTCCCCGGATCTTCGCTCGCGAAGACTGGCCATTTATTATTATAATCACATCCACTTTTCCAAAGAAATTTATTTTTTTTCAATCCATAATATGGAACTGTACTGGGAGTGAAGATGGATAGTGTGGTAAAAGAAACTGCAGTTTTTTCTTTTAGACCAGAGTCAAGTAAATGTATCCAAGTAGGGCAAATTTAAGTATATCAAACAGTAAGTCATGAATAGAATAATAAATAGTAGCATAATCAGTAAGAAATACCCATTACATTCCCTGAATAGGAGATGTCTGGGGAAAAAGATTCTCAGAGTATTTCATTGGAAACTAAGTTTCAATGCGAATACATACAAAAATACTTACTCTGTAATTTCTTTTTTTGTGTGTACTTGACTTCACAGTCTTAGGTACTTTCACGTATATGTACTATGTGTTCTATTTCATAGTGTTTGGTTGTATGCTTTTAGGAGCAGCAAGATTTTCCTAGCTTTGGATTTTATCCATTTCAGAGTGGTTAATGTCTTAGCGACAATATTGCTTTTAGATACAGATTTGGGTTTTCCCGCTGGAATTGTTACCAGTTCATGAAGCAGTTGGAGATCCTTTGAACTGAAAGCTCTGTATGTTGTTATAACTGAGACACGGGCTTATTGAGATCATTCCAGACATTTGTTTCATTCCCTTATCAGAGAATGGGCATCCTTTGCAGGTGGTGACTCAATAAATTGTCCTGGTTTGTGGCAGTTCTTTATTCATTTTAATGCATTGTTTATAAACTGGAAAACTCACATCTCTTTCCAAGCTGTGATATAGTAATTTATTGATAATTGCATGTAGGTGTTCGAGTCTGTGATATCATCTCTGTAGCTGGGGATTCACACAGAGTAACGTGCTTCCACTAATGGTCATTCACACAACATAGGGTGGAATACAGCAATCTCAGAGAGCCCCTCCTTCCTGCCCAAAGGTGTGACTGTGGTGTGATTCTGTGACATGAGCATTTCTTTCTGCAAGAATCACATTTTTGTCTGATCATTGTTGTTCGTGGTATTATTGTTTCAGGAGAGCCGAATCTATGCTGTGGCAAAGTCTGGCATGAGGTTGTCTGAAGTGGCCATGGTGAATGATACCTCCAGATGCTGTAAGTTCTAGACAAGATCCATCCTTAGAGGGAGTTTCTGGTGACAGTGCAGTACCTGGGCTTCTGGCTGTTCACATTTCTTCATTTCCTTCCCTGTTTTCAAAGTAAATTTGATCTCACAGATAGGACTGGAGGAGGACACATCTGATCTCAGGGATGGTTTGTGCTGGGCTGTTTGTGCCTCTATGTTCAGTGGCATCTTCAGGGATTCCATTATCTCCTTCATCACTTTTGTAGCCACTCTTCTGCCTCTGCATGTCTGTGGCCTGGTTTTAGTCTTATTCACCATCACTGTCCCCTGTTAGGGCTTTTATCTGTTTGGACGTGGGGCACCAGGTTGCCACTGTACCATGGAGAGCACAGGGTGGGTAAGATGTCTTACAGGCTAAATGGAGAGAACTTTGCAGCTCTCTGTGGGAGTTGTATGTAATTAATAACATGTTCCCTGGTCTTTTCGAGGCCAGATTGTCCAGGATGGCAGTCCTTGATATACTTCTCCATTGAAACCTTCACCTTTTCACCAGTTTGTATTACTTGCTCTCTTGCTTTCTTTCTCATTTTTTCCAGTTTCCAATTTCTCGTGTTCAACTTCTGGGCCATTTACCTGTCTCATCTACAGAAATGTCACTGTGCCAGTCTACACTACGCTGAAGGGGGTAAGGAGTTACCTCACTTTTCCTGTTATGAAAAGCATGGTCCAGACCTGCTAGTAATTTTAGAGAAAACAGGATGAAGCTGTGCAGCGAAGGAAAGAAAATTAGAGAATGTCAGGAAGTACTGGACACCAAAAGAATGCAGAAGGAGTAGCAAATGATAAATGTGTTTAGGAGTACAGAACATTGCAGCAGTTTTGGTCCAGGAAGCTGCACTATGAGGCTGTAGAAACCTAGAGGTGATGGTGGGTGCAGCCTAAAGAATAAAATGGAGCACAGGGCTTGTGGAACAGTATGAGGGTGTAACCAGATGAGACCGAAACAGATGGGACTAGAGAGTCAGCATGGAAGTTCTCAGACCAGAAGGGGAGGAAATGGGGGCAGAAGTGGGCAAGCTGATGTGAAAATGAAGGGCATTGATTGCTCTGCCTCCTTATTACGTAAGCAGGGATTGTCCTGAAGAAACTCTTCTTTCGCATGCTAACCAATACAGGTCTGTTTTTCAGAGAGCCACACAGATCAGCAACGTGCCTTTTGTAGACGAATCTTCAGGATCTGATGATGACTGTGGCTCCCATGCCAGCTTAAGGACTTCCACTGCTGGATCTGAGAACAAGAAAGCTAGCATGCCAGGCAGCCCTCGTGCAGTGAAAAGAGGTAAAGTGGGAGTATTGCTACTGAGCAGGATGAACTGTTGTCATCACAGGTGAGGCAAGATGCCCTGAACAGCATCATCACTGACAGGCAAATGCTCAGCCATAGTGATGCTACTAAGGAGTTCTTTCAGAATCTGTGCGGACATCAACAGCTACTCAGTAGAAACCTCTTCTCTTAGGTGTTTTTTACTGCTGATAGATTTCCATTCAGGCAATTGCTAAACTTAGATTGTGGGAAGGATTTTTTCCCAAATTCATCACATATCCAGTGGTCTGTACCTTTTCTGTGACTTTTCCTTGAAAGCAAGCTAGTACTGGCACAGTAAAGAAAATGTTTTTGTTTTTTTTTTGTCTTTGTCACTGGCTGGTAATGTCTTGACCAGTAAGGAAGTCTTTCCTATCTTTTAGAGGCATCAGGTACTTTGCATCCTGACTAGGACATTTTTTCTTATCTGCTGGGAAGGCTAAACTGGATCTTTGAATGGAATATTCATTATAATTGGTAGTCGATAAAATAGAATCATATTTCATGTAGTCTTAACTTTTGTGATGCATTGGCTGATGTGTCTCTGCATTGCCATGGACAAGTGGTGGAAGAGTCACAGAAAGCAAAGCCCCATTTTTAGTGAGGGAGCTTTTTCCTTAGTTGGAAGCAGAGGGGCTTTAGACTTTATTATGGATGTTTACAGCTGAAAACAATCTGTCTGCCCTTGAGATAACAAGTCCATTGATTTAATTTTTTTTAATATTTTTTATTCTGTCTTTATTCAACAATAAATTTATTTCACTGTCAGTATCCAAAACTCACTTTCACTACTTGTCTTCCTAGGGAAAAAGAGGTCTCAGAAGTCTGGTTAGTGGGGTTTGAGTTTCCAAAGTCTGATCTGATTTCTTCTTCTTGAACAAAAAAAAACCTTAGTGGTTAACTCAGAAACTTTTTCAGAGTGGGGAAAAGTTCAGTGCGTGCTTCTGTCTAGCCATGATTCTCATTCCTTCCTTTATTTTAAACAGGTGTATCTATGTCCTCACTGAGCTCTGAGAGTGACTATGCCATCCCTCCTGATGCCTATTCCTTGGATGATGACTATTCAGAGCCAGAACATAAGCTACAGCGAACATCTTCCTATTCCACTGATGGTGGAATCTGCACTGTAAGTCTTGCTACATTACAGTTGTAAAGGGATGCAAACAGAGCCTTGGTCTTGAAGAAGCAAACTACAGTATATTGAGTTATCCCCTGCAAAGTGACAGACTGACAGACTGGGCGATCAGTCCAGCTGACAGGTATCAAAAGACACTATCTAATGCTTCAGAAGAAGGTGCAATTTCTGTTATGTGGTTAGATTTAAATATGTGCATCAAGGGCTGTATTCTTTCCTGATGACCTGTACTGATTTCCCGTAGTCATATTCTACTTTAACGATGACCTTACACTTTTGGGACAAAACAAGTTTGGAAATTCAGAGGAAGGATAAAATATTTTGTCCTAGGAAAAATCTGGGAACATGGATAGCATAAATTCTGTACTCTTGAATTTAAGAGATCAAGCAGACAAGGAATGGGAGTCTAATCATGGCGTAGAGACAGCCTTCACTCTGCTTTGGAATATCAGTGTTTTGATAGGAAGACAAAGAAGTTTACAATGCATCAAACAACCAGTGAAATTATCTTCAGATACCTGCTTTAATAAAGAAACACAAAGTGGTATTTGCAGCTACAGAGATAGTTTAGGAGTCTCTCCAAGCTGAGCAGAGAGCACTGACCTTTGATGGCTGCTGCTAAACAAAGCAGAAAGTGACGGAGATGCAGCAAACATCTGGGCTTGACTTCAGCACACTTTCATTTGTATTTTGAGAGGTGCAGGATAATGTCCTATCCCCTTTGTTTTTTGCCCTCCAGGAACCCATGGAGAAATCAGGTTACTTGCTCAAAATGGGCAGCCAGGTAAAGATGTGGAAGAGACGATGGTTTGTTCTTCGAAACAGACAAATCATGTACTACAAGTCTCCGGTAAGTCACTGGAATACATTTAGTCCTCTCTGGAGAAATACTCATCAGTCAGTGCATGGGGTTCTGAGGGAAACTACAGCTTCCAGGGGGAAAGAAGAAAGCTGGATGCTTTCATTTTTCACCCTCCTGCATGGACATGGAAGTACTAGAAAACTAGGATAAAATTGAAAGTAAGCTTTCATGAAGTTAAAATTTGTTTGTACGATAAAATACTGCTATTGTTTACCTTCATTATTGTGCTGTATTTAGCTACATTACAGAGAATTATACTTAGGGATGTTCACCTTCCACAGTTTTTTCCTCTGGACAGCAATTTCCTCCACACTTGCATAATTACACAGTATTTCTGTGTTTATACACATCTTTGCTTACAAGTCAAGAATATTGAGAAGATTGATTTTCAACTTTTTCATTTTTGTCAGCTGTCATATTCTAACAAGAAAAAATACATCCTAGGGCACAGGGCATCTTTATTTCTGACACTGGCTTTATCCATTAGAATGCACAAAAATGTTATACATATATATTATATTCATATATATATATACCATATTCATATATATATATATAATTTCATAAATATTCAGAATTTAGACTGTTGTTGGAAGTGATTTTTGGAAGACCCTAGTCCAGCTAACACATTGAAGAAGGACTGTCATCAGCTGTAAACGGTTTTATCCCAAACCAATGGTTTTGTCTAGCTGAATCTTGAAAACTTCTAAAGGTGGAAATTCAACCACCGTCCTGATACATGTTTGTTATTATATTGTCTTCCCAGTGAGAAAGGCTTTGGTTTGTTGGTGGTTTGGGGTTTTTTTCTAATGTACAATTTGAACTTCATAACACAGTATTTGTCACCATTACCCTTGTTATATTGTCTACCACTACTGAGGAGACTTTTGCTTCATCACTGCAGTGGGATCACACTGTCTCACAGTCAACCTGGCAGCCTTCAGCTGTCCTTTCCAGCTCATGAATGCAGACTCTGACCTGCACATGCATATTAATTGCTGTATATAAGTACTCTACTATCCATCCAAGGTTTCCTACTGAAAAAACTGTTTGCTTTTCTTTCCTCAGAGCGATGTTATCCGCAAACCACAAGGGCAAATGGAGCTGAATTCCTCATGCCAAATTGTCAGAGGTGAAGGGTCCCAAACATTCCAGGTAGGCATTGCTTTTTTAGCCTGCAGATAACACTCAGTGGCTGGATGAGTGAGATAGTACTAGGAACTCCTTTTTTTGAAAAACTCTTCTCACAAGATCTCTAGCCTTTTACATGCCTGGAGGATCTGAAGAAACATCTGAAGTGCTGGATTCCTACTTTTGAAGTACTAGAAGTTAGACCATCAGTGGATTCAGTTTTGCATCATTATGTTAGAGGACTTTATTATAAAGGCAGCATTGAAGTTTCTCTCATGTTCTGAAAGGCACATGGCCTGACCTGTGAGCTATCTTTCTGCTCTTATGGAGTTGAAGTTGCTAAGGCTTAATACTATTAAATTCATAGCATCTTTCCTTTCAGAGTTACAAGGTAGTGAATGCAGAATGCAATACAAAGTGAAGGCAGCAAAACCCCCATATTTATGTAGACATTGTAAACACCTTTACAATGAAAAATTAGCAGCAGCACTGAGAAACAAGAAAGGATGAGAGGACGTAAAGCCTCAATATCCAAGAAGAACATCAAGAGAGCTTATGAGAATTCGATTTATTTGAGTTTCATTTCTTTCACTTGGGCTTTGAGGATTAGTACCTTTTTTCTTACCCTCAAAAAATCCCTCCTGAATGACCAAAAAAAAAAAATCTGTATGGGATAAAGAAACTCAGCAGCTGAAGAAAAGATTTGTAGGTGTGTAGATTTATATTTTCTCACTCCTTTTCCTTCCAGCTTGTGACAGAAAAGAGGACCTACTTCCTGACAGCAGACTCGCCCAACATCCTGGAAGAATGGATTCATGTCCTACAGAGTATCCTGAGAGTACAAGTGACCAGTCCTGTTGGTGTTCCTCATAGTGATGATAAACCTACTGTGAAAGGTTGGCTAACCAAGGTAAAATAGTATTTCATACTTTATTCAGTTTGGATCAGTACCAACTTCTTGGTTTGTACAGTAAATGTGAGCAAGAAACCAGTATTTCAATACTCCCAGTAAGAGTAGGGGAAGAAAGAAAAGTGGCAGTAGATTTCTGTATTTCAAAGCAAAACATTTATATAAATGATAAGGAATGGGACAAACAAGGCTACTGAAAGATACCAACTTTGTCAAATAGTAAGTAATAACAAATATCTAGCTTATGTGTGCTTTTCTTCAACAGAATTCACAGCATATCATAGCAAAAACATCAGGAAACCGTTAAGTCACATTTAATAGGTCTGTAACTTGGAGAGTTCCAAGGAAATGGCTTGTATGGTTCTAGGTTAGCATTTATTCAAGTCATAACAGACTGCATGTACATTAGTGCAAGCTACAAAGGCTGAGAATTCTTATGCTTTATACCATTTTCATAGATTAGTTTTGCATTGCAAATTACTATGAATATTTTAATATCATTCTGATCAGCTTCTAAGATGGCTAAAGACAACCTGCATCTTTTGTTGTTTTACTACAACAGGAAACAGCTCCTCAGACTACAGGTTGGCTGGTCTTTTCCTGCTGAGATGAACTGATTTGGTTTTATAATTTTAAATAGGTGATTCTTCATATTGTATTTCAGAATACAGAAATGATAAGTTATTATGAATGAGTAAAATACTTCACCAAATCTTAGACCCATTTCCATAAGCACCTATGTCATGTCTACTTAGGAGTACTTTCCTGCTTTTGGAAGTGGCGCCCTGTATGTTTTGAGAGGAGCTTTATATTAGCATAAGACAAATAATATAAGCAAGGTTTTAAGGGAGAGGTGACTTGGAAGTTGAAATTCCAGAAAATTGTTCCAGCAACACTGCTGATGTTAAAAGCCTGTATTTCTTTGTCCTCCTTACAGGTCAAGCATGGTCACTCTAAGCTGGTCTGGTGTGCACTGATTGGAAAAACTTTCTACTACTATCGAAATCATGAAGATAAGGTAGTTCCTTTCCCCCTTTTTGTTCCTGAACTCTCCCATTTCTCGTGAAGCTTTCTTTCCTTCTACTGCTTCTGTGTCTCGTGCTTCAAGCTCTTCCTTGGTTGTACTTTTCCTCTTCTAACAGCATCTGTTCCACAAACAGAATCAATATTTTCTCTGATTTTATTTATTTTTTTTTTTAAACTGGAATGACAGCAGACTTAAAATGCAAGTGATTGAACTTTCTCGTATCACTGTATATCTTGTTTCTCATTTTCTCCATTTGGTCTTGTCAAGCCTTTAGAGCAGACTTTATTACAGCAGCTGATAGATATCTGCATACTGTCATGAAAATTAGTAGCAACAACAATATGGGAAAAGGGGGGTCATTTAATTAGTATAATGTGCTTCCATTTCTGGAAGCTTGGGCCAATAGTACATTACTTTGTCCTGGTTATCTCAAAACCCAAGTTTTAGAATATCAAGAAATACTGTGATTCGTATTTGGGATTGACCTCCAGAGTTAGCACAGCAGATATCTTCTCTTTGTCTGAATCTACTTACTTATGTAATTTTAGGAGTACTTATTTTCCATTACCAAGCAGAAAGTCTGACCAGGATCAGAAAACAGTGGCTCAAGATACTGAGCAACTGACATCAAGTATAATGGGAAGAAAACAGCACCTTATGGGAAAAGCCATCTTTTTATTTTCATATTCTCATTCTGATCTGTAGATAGTCTCCCAAGAAAAATAATAAAAGTAGTGGCATACTTTCTAAGTGTCACACTTCATGAAAGAGAAGAGATTCTATAGAAATGCAAGATTACATTAGCTAAACACTGAATTTATTATTTATTCCTTACGTTTTACAGAGCTGCCAACATTTTGATCTGGCTTTTCTTTCCCAGTGTTCCCTATCCATACTGGAAGATTAGCTACACTTATCTAACTCGCTTCCACTCCTTACAGTGTCCCCTAGGGCATCTGCCTATGCGTGAGTCCAAAGTGGAAGAAGTAGACCGTTCCTGTGACTCTGATGAGGATTATGAAGCCACTGGTGGAGGACTTCTCTCATCCCACTGTACACTGGTGATTCACCCACAGGACCAGAGTCCCACATACTTACTCATCCGCACCAAACAGGAGAAGGTATAAAAGACAGTCTCTTTTTTTTTTGGAGAGCAGGAGTCTGTTTGGTCACAGTGAACAAAGGGGTCACACAGGCTGAACCTGTTTGTAGAAAAGAGGTCTGAATTGATCCCCACTGTTCTCATCCTCATGCCTAGAATACCTGGCTGTACCACCTGACCGTTGCAGCTGGTAGCAGAAATACCACAGTGGGCACATCATATGAGCAACTCATTGGAAAACTACTGGATGCAGAGGGAGACCCTAGTAAGTAGAAACCACAAACTCTTCCATGGCAGCAAAGTATTGAGAAAAGTAATTTCAATTTTCAGTTTTAATCCAGCCGAAGGTGAGGGAAGGGGATTTCAGTATTACATCATATTATATAATGTCCTTCTCCTCTGGTTCCCAGACAAATCCATCTCAGCGTCACATCATTTATTAAAGCCTCTGAAACGTCTGTAACATTAATTCAAATTAAAATAAAGAACTGGAGTTTTTTTGTTTTCCTGGTTTTGTTGGTCTTGATTTTCCTTTGCAGGAGATCTTGACCATACAAACAAATTCTCTTCCCTCTAAATACACTCACACGCAGTTACCTGCACATCTGTTTGTCTGCATGTATGAACCTTTACACATACATCCATGTTTGTCCGTTCCTCCTCATCTTTGATACATGCTCATGCGTGTATGTTTATGCACCATGTTCTCAAATATGTATTAACCTATGCATTCATACGTAATCCTCTTTTCCTGCACACTCACATATTCCTGGACCTATATGTGAACCTTGCTTACTGCTGAACAGTGACTTGCACTAAAAGAGAACAACAGCAGCAGGCAGCTGCCCTAGCAGGGCTTGTGTCTCTGGTTTGAACACACAGCTGAACAGCTTCTTACCAGAGTCCTGGTAAGAGCTGATGAGAAACTCTAATGTGGCACAGTTGAGGATGGCAATACTTTCTGCTGATGGCTAATGCTGCCAGTGACTCCTTATCTGTGGCAGGCTTTGCTGAAATCAGCGAAGTGTCACCAAAGATAATGTGACCTAGTGCAGTGCTGCTTCCTTGGGTGCTCTGCCATTTCAGCAAGGCTCCTCATAAGCATGGGCACTGTTGTCTTTCTTCTAACGCTGCATGTTTTTGCGCATTTGCTACCTCAGGTTCTCCTCTGTGGAAACATCCTATGTTGTGCTACAGTAAAGATGGGTTGCACACATCCCTCACCACTCTGCCATCAGAGGCTCTACAGACCGAAGCTCTGAAACTTTTTAAGGTATTTAAAGGGTTGGATGGATATATTGAAAGGTTTTCAGTTATTTTGCTCTGTTGTTGGGGCACTAACAGTATTTGGTCATGTTTTCACATTTACTGTCACTATTGGTTGCTGTAGACAAGCCTGCTGAGTTATATTTAATTACAATAGGACAGTTGAATATCAGGTGTCATTCATTCTTTGGAGGTTTAATTTTTCTTGTGCGTAATCTGGGTTTAGGAGTACTGTCCTCCACAAACTTTATGCTTCAAAGTTAGCTTTATCTTCCCCTTTCCTCTCCAATAGTTGGATTGAAAGAAATAGAAACAATTTACTGACAAACTCAGTTGTTCAGTAAGACCAGTTGTGAAGCCACTGGAGACTGTATTTTTTGCACTTAACAGTGTAAGATCAGCAGTAAGACTGGACAGTGTGAGCAAGGTAAAGCATAGGCTTGGAAGGCAGAAAGCACATTTGCCCCTTGATTCTCTTGCTGACTTGTAAGTTCCTCAGACTGCGGGAGGTTGAGTGAATTTTGTAGTTGCCATAACTGAAAAGGGAGGAATAGGAATTAGGTATTGATTCTCCTTTCTCCTCTCAAGGTTATTTATTAGTTGTCTGTAATGCATCTGAGGAACCTGGCCTGGAAACAGAGAAGAGTTGCTGTGTTCATGGCATTGACTAACTTCCATTCTCTTACAGTCCTGTCAGCTGTTCATCAATGTTCCGGTGGAGGCATCCTCTATTGATTACCACGTGTCACTCGCCCAGACAGCACTGCAGGTCTGCTTGACACATGCTGAGCTGCAGAATGAAATTTACTGTCAGCTTGTTAAACAGACCAGCTGCCGACAACCCCAGAACCACTCAGTCATTCAGGTCAGTTCCTCTTTTGTTATTTCCACTCTGCAAATACTTGCTATTTAATTCCTTGTTTTTAATAATTAGCAATGGGACTGGTTCTCACAAAATTGTGCTAGTGCTAAAGGTGTGCTAGAGGAAAGAGAATGGAGCACTGATGGGCAAAGAAAAACACTAAGAATGTAACCATATGCAAAATAAATTTTAGTTTAAATGTAACCACTTACCAGTTGCGAATGGTCTGTTCAGACCATATTCAGAATCAAAATTCATAGCTTGTGTTGGCTAGCTGCAACTGTCACATAGTATTAATTTCGTCTTCCATTTTAGATAATCAACAGCACACAAATAATGAATATTACTATAAAGCATGAAATCTGAATTTTGCACTATAATTACTGAATAAATTAAATTAATAAGTTACAGTATGAATGAACGTACTCAACTATAATATTCCCAGCTGAAATGAGAAATTAAAATCAGGTTGAAGAATAATGGGTCCAATTTGAAGCAAAATTCCCCAGTGTATTTTTTTTTGTTGTGATTTGCAGTTACATAGTATTAATTAAAGTCTTAATTGTTCACTCAGCTCTGGTTACACTAGTCAAAATTTCCAGAAGTAGCCAATCATTTAGAACTCTTCTTAGAATCCAGGTTGAGATACTGAAGAGCAGTCTGTCTGACCATCACTTCCCTCTGAAGCATTTTGAACTACATGTCTAAAAATGGTCACTCCAAAAAGCATTAGTCACCATCCAACATTTTAGTTGCAGTATTCTATAAAAGACAACAGGTAAGAAATACAGAACAAGGATGATATCCAGTTTTATGTTCACAGTGCTGGCAACTCCTCGCTTTATGTGCTCCTCTATTCCTGCCTCAACATCACTTCCTCTGGTACATCAAACAGCACTTGCAGCGACATGCAGACCCCAGGTAAGGACTGCAACAGCATTTTATTCTGCTAAGCTGACTGCCTTTTCCATCAGATAAAGAGGGAAGCATTTGTAACACACACCTGCAAAAACATGTTGGGAGAGAGGACAGGTTTCCAATGGTATAAAGCTGTGTCCCTTCAGTCATTCACATTAATTTGTCACCTAGATTAAGCTAGTTCACAAAACAGAGTGACCTATATTAGCAAAAGAACTTCTGGCAGATATAACTGGAGCTACATAGGGAGGTTTTTTCCTAATGCAGCAACTTTCTTTTATTGATAGAAAGACAGATAAAAGTAATTATTTAGAATGAATTATTCAAATTTTAGGTTATAACGTTCTGCTGTCAGGTTAGCAGGCATTACTGACAGAACAAAAGTGAGGCAGAGGACATCTCAGGAAACTGTAAAAAGTTAGGAAAAACTAACTAATCTGAAATAAATGCTAGCAGTGTTTTCTGTTGCCTCTTTGGCATGTAACATTTTCACCTGAAAGAAAGCAGTACAAGATCCACAGTAAGGGCAATAACTTTTTCTCCATTGTTCATGCTGCACTCTTGGTTTGTTTCCATGCTGATCTCATCTTCAGCATATCTCACTGTGTCCTTAGGGGGGAGTCACAGCTAGAGATGTCTAATTGTCTGTTGCAACAATATACTGTTGTTAAGACATAGGTAAAAGAGTTGTTTGCTTTCAAACAAATATTCATATTCTAATAATAAGCCTAAGTCTCCTTGGAACTCAGGCCACAAGCTTCCTGGCACTGCAAAGAAATCTGTGTACTCCTATCAAGTCTTTTTTATTTTCTTATATGCTGCCTCACATTTGCAGTTTCTTCTCAAAAATGAAAATATGGATATCAAGCACTCCTCAATGTTCAGGCTCTCTCTCTGTTTGCTAAGACAACAGGTTAGGGATCTTTTGTGTAGTATTAGAAACCATCTCTTCAAACCTGTGCATTACCAGCTCCCAGACTGGCCCATTCAACCCAGTAGTGAAGCTGCTGTGGGGGACTATTGAATTTCATAAGGATGTGCTGGGCTCTGTGAACTGATCTATTTAATCAGTTTCAAGCATTCCTATCTGATGGTCTACTAGGTTCTTAGCCCAAAAGTACCTTTATCAACAAATACACTCTAAGCAGAAGCAAAGAGGAAATTTATTTACACAATCCAGCTATGAAACAATTATTAGAGCTAGAAAAGAACAGAAATTACATGAACATGTGTCTATATTCATCTGTAGTTTAGATTAGATTTAGAGCAGTTGCTAAGTATGACTCAGCTTGGTTCCTTCTGCCTGGCTCTAGGAATACTTACGTCTCTTTGGCCGTTTCTTGACTAGTTAATTAGATATACTTTCCCTGTTTCCCACAGCAAAGCAGGATACTCGAGTGTTTACACTGCATAATGCCTATGGTCTAGATTTATACTAGATCTTAATTCTAGGTATTGCTTTTCATGAAAGGTGACCTTAGAGTACATATCCAGTCTCTTAAAGAGGAAGCAAAGTGGGGCAGAGTTCTAGGTGAGAAGACAACAGGGCTCAGGAGGATTTGGAAGCCAGACACAACAGGTTCTTGTTGAAGTACGATTCTCTATTTGAAAATTGTCCAAATGTATTACTGGGGAGGTAAGCAATATATTGCTACAGTGAAAAGCCAGAACTCCTGACTTCTATGTTGCTTGCAGGGATTTAACCAGAGGTTTAATCATGTACTGAGCTCCTGAAGGCATCTTGACTGGGATTAGTTTCCCCTGCAAAGTGATAGCATGATTATAAATCTATATAAGTCCTTCAATTTCAAAACTTAATCAGTAGATTCTTAAAATTTTTAAAAGGTATAACTGATTGTTCCTGCCTGGCTTTAGAGACACATTTTTTTGGTGCTGTTCAATGGAGCACTCTCTTTAGTTGACAGTAAACTACACCTATCCTGTATTGAACTATCAACAAATCTAAGCTTGCTTTGAATCTCTGTCAAGTCTCTTGACTGGCAGATAGGGTTAATACATGGGAACTTATAATTTGTATAACCATGTAAGTTGATAAATACAACTTGTATAATCCTATGAGGCTAATGCATTACAATTTATTATTAATATTTACCAGGACTTGATATGATAGTAACTAAATTCCACTGGCATGACAGCGAGTTTGAGGGTGAACAAATCTTGGCTTAATGGATACTATGATGGCAACAGAGTACAGAAGAGAATATTCCTATACTGCATTCAGTCCACCTAGAAGTATGCTCTTGTAGTATTCCCTAGAGGGAATGCTCTTGTGCTTCCTGCAGAGTCTATTGTCTACCTTAATTTTACAGGTCCTTGGAGCTCGGGTTTGTGTTGTAGCTTTTCACTTGAGGTGTTAGTCTGTTGAGATGAACGATACATTTGCACAGAGATATATCTCTGCCTGAGGGAGGAATGCTTTGTCATGGCGTGGGAAATTGAAGAGGACATGGCACTTAGAGCATGTTCTTGTTTTTCTCCAACTCTTCACCTAGGAGTGAAATAGGCAAGTACGCCATCTACTGCCAGAGATCAGTAGACCGCACGGTGCAGGCTGGAGAGCGGGAAGCCAAGCCCTCCCGGATGGAGATTGTGTCCATCCTGCTAAGAAATCCCTACCACCACTCACTCCCCTTCAGCATCCCAGTGCACTTCATGAACGGAACCTACCAGGTGAGCCACCACAGCTGCCTTTCTTCTGGGCACTAGAGGACTGCACCATACCCTGCCTCCTTCATGTGGGTGGAACCATGGTATTTACACATATCAGATTTTGGGAGATAGGCACTACTTCTCCTCCTTGTCATTTTAGCTGTTTTCCCTGAGAAAATGAAAAGAATCCAGCCCCAGCTCTACAGGTCTTAGAAAGAAAAGATAGCTGGGGAAAATGGACAGATGTCGAAAGTGTCTCATTATGGGAAAGAATGCGGTGTGAAGGGAGACAATATGCAAGTGCTGTCACTGGAGCTGGCAGTTAATCCTGAGACATTAACCTGTAGAAAACCAGCCTTCATTAGTTGTGATACCCATCAGTGTCATGTTTCTTGAATTTTTCTTGTATTCTCAATTAATTCCCTTTTCATTGCAGGTTATAGGTTTTGATGGTTCTTCAACAGTTGATGAATTCATCCAGCGACTCAATCAGGAGACAGGAATGAGGAAGCCATCCCACATGGGATTTTCTCTCTTCACAGACGATCCTTCTGGCAGGAATCTGGAACATTGTTTGCAGGGCAACATGAAGGTATTTATTTTTCCCCTCTGCTACCTTTGGTATACTTCTTTGAAGAACTGCTAAATGGTTAATAAACTGCTAAATAGCTAATAATTTTTTCTTAATGATTCAAGATGAAATAAAGTTGGATATAGTCTATCTAGATTTATGTTCACAGATGTGATACTAATTCCTGCACTTGGGTCACAACAACCCCATCCAACCCTATAGGCTTGGGGAAGAATGGCTGGAAAGCTGCCCAGAGGAAAAGGGTCAGGGGGTCTTGGTCAACAGCCAGCTGAATGTGAACCAGCAGTGTGCCCAGGTGACCAAGAAGGCCAATGGCATCCTGGCTTGTTTCATAAATAGTGTGGCCAGCAGGACCAGGGAAGAGATTATTCCCGTGTACTTGGCACTGGTGAGGCTGCACCTCAATACTTGCTCAGTTTTGTGCCCCTCACTACAAGAAAGACATTGAGGTGCTGGAGTGTGTCCAGAGAAGGGCAATGGAGCTGGTGAAGGGTCTGGAGAGTAAGTCATGAGAGTCTGGAGAGTAAGTGGCTGAGCGAGCTGTGGTCATTTACCCTGGAGAAAAGAACGTTTAAGGGGGAACCTTACTGCTCTCTACAACTACCTGAAAGGAGGTTGTAGGGAGGTGGGGGATGGTCTCTTCTCCCAAGTAACAAGTGACAGGACGAGGAAATGGCCTCAAGTTGCTCCAGGGGAGGTTTAGATTGGCTCTTAGACAAAATTTCTCTGTGAAAGGGTTGTCAAGCATTGGAGCAGGCTGCCCAGGGAAGTGGTGGTATTTGGAGGTATTTGAAAGATGTGAAGATGAGGCACTTGGGGACATGGTTAAGTGGTGGGCTTGGCAGTGCTGGATTAATGGTTGGACTTGCAGATCTTAAAGGTCTTTTCCAATCTAAATGATCCTGTGATCCTATAATTAGCTCAGTCTAATCTGATATACTTCTTAATACAAAGCAAGGTCTAATTTTAGTAGATGATAAATTGGTCAATTTTTAAAAAGTCTAACTCAGATTTTGCCACATATTAAAGTTTAATTTGTCTTGATGACAAAATTGAAATATGACTGAACTAGTCAGCATGAGCATGATATCACAACTGATATCAAGTGTGACACTCTTAATTGAGACAAATTTATGTTAGGCTGTGAGTCTTTTGGCATGTCTACATAAATTCCATCTATTGGATTATGAAGTATCTCCTTGCTGTCTCCAGATAACTCAGGCTTTCACTGTTGATCAGTGTACTTAGCAGAGAAAGCTCTACTGAGTATGGCTTAAGAGTAGAGTGCCTCAGATCAAGGGAAAAACAAAGCAAATAAAGTATTAACATTTGTGTCTTTCATATGGAGATTTTTACCCCTCCTGCAGCTGAATGACTGCCTTAATTGAGCAGGCTAGCCACCATGAATGAGACACATCAGATTTTGGTACAAATCAGGGAGAATAATTTCTCATCCAGCATTGATGGAAGAATAGTTGTAGTGGCAACGTTGAATAGACTCTGATACCTCTATGGAACTTAATCAATGTTACGCAGTGTAAAATTTCACATTAGGCAAGAGAGGGAGAAGATACCAATAACTTTGGATTAGAAGATTTGAAAAGGAAACTGCCACAGACAGTACCAAATCATATAGTTTGCTTTCATGGCCTGATACAGATCAGATAATCTGAAGCTTTGCTGGTAATTGGACCACCATCTAGAGAGATGATGTATCAGAGTAAACAAAGGAGCTTGAGACAATCAAAGGCATCTCTTTTACTGGTTATTATTTACTTGCCATCTCAATAGCTTCTTAAGAGAGGTTTAGAGATCTGATTATGTATTTCATGTGGATTCTTATGTTCACATTCCTTTTATTGAGATGCCATCAAAAGAGAAGTAGGGGCCTTCATTAGACCATTTATAAAAGGACTGGAATAACTAATAGGAGCTGAATGAAACTGAACAAATTAACCATGTTATTACTGAAAATATGTCTGAGTTACAGAGTTGGAATCCAGGACCAAAAATTTGAATCCAAGGGTTTGGTTTAGCCATGCATGTAGATAGCTCCTGTTCAGAGGATACATTAGTGCTTTAGTTTGGCTCGGGGGGGCTCTTCTGAAGCAAACCTATCAATCATTCCTATTAACCATGCTTTGACTCACATTAAGGAGTAACCTGAGAGCATGACATTTATTCAGTTCATGTTTCACATAAAAGGGAAGGTATGATCCAAAATAATAGTGGGCTTTCAGGTCACTTAATCAGACTAAAGCTAATCCAATGAAAAACCCTTTAAAACTCACACAGTGTGGGCATAGAGACTTAGGAATGGGTGTTTCTCGGTGCGTATCTGCTCCTCCTGAGCTTTGCTACTTGCTAAGGTAGACATAACCACAAGAGTTACTACCAGACCAGAATTCATTTAAACATGCCCCCCTGCAGATCAGAGCTGGAGTTTTCAGTTGGAGTGCTTTAATTTTTACATATTATGTAATAGAAAAAGGAAGCGTTTTGTCACTTTTGGCTGTGTTTATGCTGATCCAGTCTGTTTCTTTATCTTCTGTGCTCCATAATACTTCATTCGCTTACTCTCCCCTCAATCAATACATCTCATCTCACTTTGTGTCTCCTCTCTCCTTCGTATTTTTGAAAGATCTGTGATGTCATTTCTAAATGGGAACAAGCCTTAAAAGAATTGCATCCTGGGAAATATGAAGGTGGCACAAGAATTGTAAAGTTGACCTATAAGAACAGGTACTGTCTTTTGTTGGGTGGTCTCGCTACTGCTGTTAATTAAATATTCTAGACTGCATATATCTCTGTACATGACCAGTAATTTATAGTATCATAAGTGCCAAAACTATTTTAGCTAAGATGCATTTAAATCCTACATGAGATGTGATAACTTTTGTATGTTACATATACAAAAGCATATGGCCTAGAGGTAAAACCCAAAACACTTTGCAATAGCAGAATAGACTTAAAAAGAGTTAAGAACTGGCTCTAGTACAATAAGATATACTTGGCACAATTTCATTTGCCTAGATACTAAAACTTAATTAAATAATGTGTGTTAGGTAAGAGGAAGAGAGACCTAGAGGAAAAATCACCAGTGAAAACAAATATAATGAAACTTGCAATTAAGTGAACAATCACAGAGATGAAAAAGATACAAGAACAATGTTCTAAATCACATGAGCTGTAGAAGAGATGTACTAGCAGTGCCCAAACTTTATAAAGAAAGAAATGTTAAAAGTTAGATGATGAAAGATGGTAGAGAAGTACAAGACAAAGATCTAAATAAAAAATGGAACAAGTTCATCACTTATAATACTGACAGGAATTCTGAATTACAGTGAATCAAGAGCTGTATGAGAACAAGGAATGGCATTCTGCATGTGAATTCTCTTTGCAGGCAAAACAAAGGCTACTCCAGAACTGAAAAGAGGCAAAGTTCTATATTGAACATATAAAAATTTTTTTGACTGTAATAATGGAAACAAATTTCTCTCAACTTTGTTACTTGGTATAATAGAGGTGGAAGCAGAAATTACTGCTTTTGACCTAGAAGGCAGTATCTGTTTCAAGAGTGAAACAAATATTATTTTGTTGGACTGGAATGTGCCCAGACTGGACAGCAATGATGTTTCGATAACGTGTTTCCAAGGATGGGCTGTTCTAACACCAAGGACTCTGATAAGAAATGTGTCAGGTCAATATGGTCCTAATGGTGTTGTTAATCTCAAACCAACATAAAAATAAACAAATGGATCCACTGGAATTAGTATCTCATGCAGTATTGTGGAATACATAGCTTTAATATTAGAATTAGATGATATGGACTGTAAATTGGCATGCATAAGGAAAGGTTCTGGAAAGCATTCCCCTAGCTGGTGTCTTAACCCCCATTAGTAATCTTGCTATACCACATCAAAACAATTGCAAGTGTGGATGGAATAAGAAATAGTAGGAAACTTTGATGCACAAGCATGTTTCTTTAAGTTTTGAAATAAAGCCTGCTAATTGAGTCTCTTATTTCCTGCTGAAGCAAAAGGAAGACTTTTTTAACAAGTGTTAAGTGGTCAAATCCAAGCTGGCAGGTCTACCAGGCTGTCTTGTAGAAACTTACACATGTACAGCAGAGGTAGCTCTCTTTTCTGTGATAAGCACAGAAGGCCATAACTTAAACCTTGCCTGTCTGTGCTTGATGGGGATCAATGGATACTGGTTTAGCTGTGTTTAATAAGGGTTCACTGTGGTTGGCTTACAGAATTCAAAGAGCTTCCAAAGCTAGAAAGCATGTTTCAAGCTTCCTTGCCCAAATCTCAGCTTCCAAATCTGTCCAGTAAAAAAAAAAAAACCCACTTTTATTTTGCCTTACCTTGATTAAGTTCCCAGCTGTACTTTCAGTTCACTAGATCTTTTTACCTTTACGATCATCTCTGCTTTTCAGACTATATTTTCGGAGCCAGGCCAAAGGTGAGACAGACCGTGAGCGGTTGCTACTGGCCTTCCAAGTCAGCAATGAAATAGCCAATGGAAGGTTTCCTGTTAATAAGGAATTAGCTCTGGAAATGGTGGCCCTGATGGCTCAGGTGGGTATGGCTGTAGGCAGAAATCCTCTCTTTTGTCTTCCTTCAGCTGTACACTGAGAGTGTCTTTGACTAAGCAGCTACGTTTTACATCAAAAGTGATTCTTCTTAGCAAAGATACAGAGATGTCCCATGCCAAATACATTATACCAGTATACATATGTTAGAACACCTTTTGCAGTAGGGAAATTTGCTCTAGGAGTGCTTGTCCTTTACTTCTCAAGGAAAATATCAGAAAAAGCAGCAAGGCTGGAATATCACCCAAACTGCTCCAATTAGTACCTTAGCAGAGATATGGAAATAGTACCACTACTAGAATTCCATTAAGAGTAAAAATTTTCCCTGTTGCACTGCCAATACCCTCTTACTCAGGATGAGCATCTTGTAGGATCCTCCATTAGACCTGCAGGTTTGAATTTAACATTTTACCACATAAAACACACAATATGGGTTGTGGGCATGATAAGCAGGATAGTATTTTCTTACTGAGCTGAAACAGTTGAAGCAGTGTAAACTGAGATGAATAACCTGGGGATGTGGTCCAAATATGCTGTTGTTTTAATTGGCCAGTTGAAATAAACCCCCAAAGCCTGGCAGTTATACAGATGTGTCTCCTTACAAATATCTGGCTGAGATCTTGTTTCACTTTCTTAGATCAGTAAATAATTCCTTGGGCAGTCATGTCCTCAGTAGTTCTCTTCTGTATATATTTATTATGGTAAATGCTGTAGACAAAATTCCCCAGCTTAATTATGTCTTTTTGTGTGACTAATAAACACAGTCGTTATTGGTATGGGAATTCATGGAATGTTCTACTGCATTAAACCCCTCATTGTTCTGTTGCACTACAAATAATAATGTTGTCTTAGGTGGAATATGGGGATTTGGATCGATCAGGATCTTCAAGTCCTGGGGGAACATCACAATTGAAAATGCAGCATCTTCTCCATCAGGTCTTAGATAAATTCTACCCCAAACACTACAAGCAAAACATTACTCCTGAACAGCTCAGGTAAATTGTTGGTTCTTCAAAACTTCGCACTGAAAACAGCTTTTACTTACAAAATTCTGTCATATATTTAAGTAGTTTCAAGGAAACCTGTCAAGATTATTTGATGTAGAAACTTAAACAAACCACAAGTGTCAGGAAAAGGTTCCCTTAAAAGAAAAACTAACATAAAAATAGCCAAATCACCAACTACTTTTCCCCTAGACAAGAAGTTTAGGCCTTTCACTTCCAAATTAGGCATCTCAGTTCCAACAAACTAACCTAAGCCTAAGGTGAATTCTCTTCCTGAGTTTTTGTTTTACCCTTCCCCCAGGTATCAGTTGAATCCAGATGCCTAACATTTGCAATGAGTCATAATGCCAGCATGAGTTGCTTCAGGCCATGCAGTAATTCTGGTAGGACATATTTTGGTAGGGCTTTTTGGTGTTCTGACTTGGAAATTCTCACACACAGTGCAGAGAGCTCAAGTACAGAATTCAGATGCTGCCACAGATCTCAGATTTATCTGTTTCAAAGTGAGAGAATGGTTTTATTCCAGACCCTAAGCTACTTAGGAATGCAGTGGTGTAGCTAACACAGTTACCTCCTTTTGGAAGCAAATTCCATCTGCATGTAGTGAGGTAGCTGCCAAACTACCCTATTGAGCCAAATCAAGAGCTAATATGTATTGCCATTCCATATAGAGCATACTACAGCAAGGTAGGAGGAAGACAGGAGTGTAACTGAATGTGAAGACGAGCTGGGCAGGGTTTTACTGTAACACAAATTCTGACCCAGTGTCTGCAGATACAGTTGTTTAATATATACACCGGTGAGCAACCCATATGTGAGTAGGATTCATGGGTGTTACAGTATAATTAGTAATAAAATAATTACGGATGTAGAGAAAATGCTAAAATAAACTCATGTTATACAATCCTTGTAACTGATAGTGCTAACAGCCTTGTCTGTAGGAGCTGTGTAGAACAGACCTCTTGGAGTAAAGAGGCACATCTATTTCCTTGGAAAACATTAGTAAATAATACTGTCTTGTATCTTGGATTCTGAAAGGCAACTGATAGACAGGCTGGCGATGAAGTGGATGGTGCTGCAGGGATGCTCTCCACCAGAATGCATTCGAATTTATTTGACGGTGGCCCGGAAATGGCCTCTCTTTGGAAGCAAAATATTTGCTGCAAAGGTAACTGGACCACACCTTTTTCTGTTGCCAAGAGTGAACTACCTGAGCAGAAATATACCTACAGTCTCTGGTAACATGGGTTGAAAATGCTTCTACTTCGGGAAAGGAAAAAACTGAACAATACTCTGTTCTGAACAAACAGCCTTGGTACCACATAGGTTGAAAAACAAGGCAGGCAAGTATGTTCTAAACACTAGGGGCTGCTAGCGTTCAGTAAGTAAATACTGAAGGTTCCATGGCCGTGTCAGTTGATCATGATACAGAGTACTGACTGTCCTTACAAACCTTGCCAAAGCTTGCTTAGGCAGGAATTTCCCTGGTCAGCACGGCTGCAGTAATAGTTTAAAAAATACTATTTACATACCACCATGGGGGTGGAAGGGAAGAGTCCCCCATAAGTCACACCTGGCAGCTGATGCTAGCTGTAATTCAGTCCTGTTCTCTGCTTGACACAGACCTGGATGCTTTCCTTGCCACGTGAGAGAAGCAAGTGCTGCTAGTGTCCTATTGCAGAAACAAAAGCTAAAGCATGTATTGGGTAAGCTGCCAGCCCACAGAATCAGTAGGAGAGCAAAGGCTAGAGCTCTGCACCTATCACCCTTGCCTGAACTGATGTCTTAGCACATGATGGCTGTCTGAGAAATCTTGTTTTGGCATTAACCATCTTCCCCATCCCAGCAGAAACTTCCCCTGTTGAAAGCTTGAGATAGGTCTTCTTCATGGTTACATATCTCTTGCTTTGACTTCAAAGCTGCTGTAGTTATGGAATAAAGTCTAAGGATGAAACACACTTCTTGAGTAAATATACAAAAAATTTGTTAAGAGATAATTATTTCCACTGTCAGGAGTAAAAGCAGAAGTTACTGGTATTTGAAGTTATGGATGCTGGAGAATCTGAATATAGAATAGTTCCACTCACAGTTCAAATAATGTTGGTATTTCTGATGATCAGCATATTTTATAACTTTTCAACAGTTAAGCAGCAAAGCCTATGGCATTAGCCATGTAATCGCAGATTCCTAGGAAAGGTTTATGTCATTAGCCATAACAACTCATCTTTAACAGCTAATTGATACACGTTTGTCTGTAAGACTCTGTAAGAAATGAAATTGCTTTGTTGTGATGGTACTGGGTGCACTGGTGTTACAGAAACCAAAAGGCTTCACTGCCTGTCTGACTGACAGGAGCAGTATAAAAACATGTGCAGAGCAGAGTTGCATCTTATTGCTCTTTCCTAGCATTTCCTTCCATTTTAACTATACCAATGGAATCTACTTAATCTAAAAGCCTTTGTTATCCTTGTATCTCTTGTGCTACTACTCTCAACATTGTATTTAAATCTGAAAATATTATTCTAACTTTTGAGAAAAGCTCTCTTAAAAAAATCAAACCAGGTCACACCAGTAAGCCTGTAGGATTCTTTCTCATCATCACTTTATCCTTAAAATCCAACATTTATGTCAGAAACATCATTCTGTTGGTCATCAAGAAACACCTGAATTAATAATTTTCTTTCTGTCTAGCCTATTTTGCCTTCCTCATTGGAAGACTGTCCAGTCTGGATAGCTGTGAATGAAGATGGTATCAGCATACTGGATTATAACACAATGGTATGTTGAGGAACACTGTTTAAGAAAAATGTCTTATCCCCTCGCCCCCAGAAAGACACTCCCAAGTCCACTGAAATGGACCCAGAAGTTAACTTGTAAAAGTCAGATGATGGAAGTCAGTGCTGTGTTTGAACACTACATAGACAAAGGAAAATTACAGCTGCAGTGTAAGTTAGGCTAGCAAACATGCTCATACATCTTTGCAAAATCTCAGTAATGTGTGCTTTACTACCATCATCTGGGATATAACAAAATTTGGACTATGAAGCAGTGAGGTATCGAGCAAGCCAGGAGAAAACTAGACATGCAATTGTCACTTTCTCTGCCAGCTGTTACCTACAGAGCCAGTTAGCTGTAGTGCCTGTTACTGTTGGAGATCTGGTGTTCTTGCAGGAAGCAGCAATATAAATTAATATATTATTTTAAGGTGAGCTTTTTGGGTTTTTTACAGAACTATGACTTTTTCAAATTCTCTATCTGCAGCATTTGAAGGTTTCTTATTCATACTCCTCTGTGCTGACCTTTGGAGGCTGTCGAGATGACTTCATGATTGTAGTCAGTCAAATGAAAGAAAAAAGTTCTGGAAAAAACAGCACTGAAAAACTCCTCTTCACAATGGCAGTTCCTAAGGTAATTATAAAATGAAAAGCAAGTTTCTTTCCAGCTGGCAGCATCAGAGCTGAGTGTTTTGTATAAGCTCTGGGGACTGGTACTTGTGGGTGCTGCACTAGCTATACACATTCAACAAATCCCTTGTAAGCTGGAACCTTCGAACAAGAGACTTATTCTACCTAACTCTTAGAGACGGATCTTCATTTCAAAACTGAACAATTCCATGTGAGAAAGCCATTTACGAAAGTTAGGCAGTCAAATAGGTTCTGAGAATCAAAGGGCACTTTTACCTCTAGTTGACTTACAGTTAATCATTGTCTTTTTTTCCCTAGATTGTTGAAGCAACACTTCTTATTGCCAGCTACATTAACTACCGCTCATCACCTTCACTCCTGTCTTCGACACAGCCCTCCCAAAGCGAAACACCTGCTAAGAAGCTCTGGGAGACTGAAAATCGGTGCTTTTCTCCTTCTGTGCCCCGAAGCACTAAGGGTCCCACCCTGCTCTGAGGGCTCATTCCAAATGAGCTATGTTTCTTCTGGTTACACACCACTACTTTAATGTGGACTTTGATTCCTTTTCCATAATAATAGACAAAGTTCCTTAGAGGTAGAGGCAGTGGCCTTTCTCTTGGGGGAAAAAAAAAGTTGTTTTGGGGGACTGTGCAGGAGTTTCCTTTCCATGACACACTCCATCCAAAATACCATGCCTCAGGTCATTTACCTGCACAGTGCTCCAGTCACATTACATCTGCTCTCTTTCCTTATACTGATTATTCCATCTCGTACCTGCTTTGCTTTAGAAACACATACATTTTCGTAGATCCCTCACATTTTCAGCTTGCAGAAGAGAGAAACTTTCCAAGTCCTTGCTCCAGACATGAAAAAAGACATTATTGAGAATGAAGAGGAACTAAACTGACAAGAATAATTCCGATGCAAGTCAAGGGTGATTTTAGACCTGAAATAGGGAGTATAGGATTAGAGTTCAGTGGTACTTAAGAATGTTTTCAACTTTAAACAAAGGTGAAAACCTAGTGTCTTTACATGTTGAGGACTCAGAACAACTGAGACTAGAACAGTGTCAGAGGATGTCAGCTCCTACAGGACTGATGCATTTCAGAAGTTGAACCTGTTCTACGCAATAGATGAACACTAAAATGATGCTGCAGGGCTGAATGTGTCATATGCTCCACTGTCAGACAAGCACTTTCTGCTAATCACTGTTGTAGATGCGGTTGAAACTGCACATTTTCTCAGACAAGGGAAGACAAGACAAGCAAATTTTGTACTTTTTCTGTCTTTCAGCAACTAGAACAGATCTTGTTCCCAAACAAGCTCTGCAATTCTGACTTGACAGAAGCTGCTCCTTTCAAACTCTTGCTTCCTTCATGCTACCATAAGCAAGGAGGAGGTAGTCAGCAAATGTGTACTCAAGTACTGTTCTTCTGACTTTCCTAAAGAATTGTGGTAGGTTTAATTTTTTTATCTGTTTCAAAGGGATTTTGCTATGAGAAGGTTATCGAACTTTAAACAAGTAAAAGAAAAATAGTAATTCTTCGTGAAAAATCTAAATTTACATAGCTTGAGTTCAGCTCTTTTGATAAGCCTTATAAAAAAAGCTAAGGAAGAATAACTGCACTTTCAAAAGTACCATGTGCAACTTCATAATAATTATGCATTCCTGGGCAACTTTCCCAAATTAAAACAGTGTGAACCCAACCACTAGAATGAATTCAGTAATAGCAAAACGAAAGCTATGAACAAAGCAAATGAACAAACCACCCATACCAGTGTTTTTAGTACCTGCCACCAACATCCAACTAATGCACACAAGGGAGCTGATACAGCAAGAAGTTTTTGTTTCATGCTTAGGTGGTAGCAAAGGCACGAGTTAGGATTATGGGACAGACAAAAATTGGGTTTTTGTAATATGAAAAAAAAATATATAAAAATCCCCAAACAAACAAAATCCCAACCCCAAATCACCCTATGGTGGGTTACGGAAACACTACGGCAGACATAAGACAGGAAAAGATTGTATGAAGAGTGACCTGATTTGCACATACTGTAATGTAACCACTTGTTATGAATTTAAAGACCATCCCTTGAAGGTACAGAAAAGGGTAGAAGCTTTCTGAGCCAAAAATAATTTTAAGAAGGTACTTAGTCTTTTTTGTTTTCCCTTACTTAAGTGACTATATCTCCTGATAGTAGTTTGTGTTTCCTCTCTCTCTCACACACACAGTGATCTCAGTATAGCTCTGTCAGTTTGAATACATGAAGTGTTACACCTCCTCACTCAATCACCTGTGCCTAACAAGTTCTCCTGTACCTGAAGGTCTGTTTGGCAGTCTGCTTCTGCGATCCCCCCAGTGACAAAGCTGCTTTAGAACAGGCTGAAGGTGTGTGGTGTCCTAGCTGTCATCAGTGCCAGAGATGTTCAAGGCATAGAAGTCTCCAGTTCACAGTTCAGAGGCTGTACTTCCTTATAGTGTTAACACTCATGTCCTCAGAGATTTGTACCAGGGCAAACAGGAAGCAGAGATGTTAAATAAACAGGAGCTGTCCTGAAGCTCATTATTTTCTACCATAACTGCACTTTAAACTGAGAAGCATGACATATAGAACTTCTTTTCCTTCCTTATTTCTTAAAAATATTCACGAATACTTGAGTATTTCAGGGACCACCCCACTCTGATGGATGCACATACCCCTCCTATTTATAGCTTACCTGTCCTCAAACAAACAACCCACCCTGTGGAGATATCTATTTTGTATGATTCTTTGGTAGAGAAAACAGTTTTTTATTTTAATCAATGCTTTTGATGCAGCATAGAATGAGATGACAAAAGCCTTTCTTTTCCTAACTGCTGTGAGTATATAAAAGGCTGCCTGGAATATACTGTGAGATTTCTGTTTGTTCTTAATAAAATGCAGCTATCATGAATTAAACTGTATTATTCTCAGAATGAAAGCAACTATTTTAAAAGCCAAAATATTCTCGATGTAAACAAAAATGAACAAAGATTGTGTTTGGTATCCAGGCACATACCTGGTACAAACCTGCCCTAGTCTGATTCCTGTTTTCTCTCTGCTATTTCTCAGCATCAGTGGATGACTAAACTATGGGAACAGGATGTTCACTCCTTCAAAAGATTGCTAAAACAATCTTTCAGATTTCCTCCTGTGACACAACTTCTTGGTAATTTCTTCAGTGCATATTCTGAGGACTTCATGGGATTTTTATAGCATAGTCAGCATTCCCTGCACACTCTTAAGCCTAAGACTCTGTTCATTCTCTTGAGACATCATTTTTTTCTGACACAAAAGCCAGTGGCACATCCCCAAGCTGCTGCCTTTCACTTGGACAACCAGAACACTTCCTGTGTCTTTCAAACTTCATGGCACCACGAAAAAAAAAGTCACCTTATCTCTACCCTCTTGCATGATAGTATGTTGACACATTCTTTTATTTACAGGTTATGTACACAAGCACAATACAGCATTGTATGCAAATGAAGCATGAGCCCAGGCTCCTGCCAACTTGTGGGTTTAGCTCAGTTATATTACTAAGGAATCATGGAAAAAAAAAAAAAAAAGATAAAAATACCAGTTAAGGGTTACAGTGACTTTTAGCTTAGCAACAAAGAAGAATTTTCCAACTTTAAGTTACTCCCAAGAGCACAGATCAATAAAGCTTTATTCACATTGTCATTACCATGATTTTCAACAACACATCTGCCTTCAAGCTGCCTCATCTTCTTGGAGTAATTGATGTGGCCCTTTTAATGCACATCTTTTCAATGTCCTGTGTCACCAGGTCCCTGCCCCACTCAGCAATGGGTTCACATTTTCCCTGTATTCCTTTTGATCCTTAAGTACTTACTGAAGTCATCCTTGTTGCTACTGACATCCCTGAACAGATGAATCTGTTAGTCTTTAACTGTCCTAACCACAGCTTGAACAGTGTTGCTGTATTCCTCCTAAGTTACCTGTCCCTAACTCCACATTCTGTATACTTCCTTTTTGTGTTCAAGTTTTGCCAGGAGCAATTTGCTCATCCATGCAGGCTTCCTGGCATTTCTGCTTGACTTCCTGCTCATTGAGATGGACTGTTCTTGAGCTTAGAAGAAATGATCCTTAATTATCAGTCAGCTTTCTTGGACCTCTCTTGCCTCTAGGGCCCCATCCCATGGGACTCTTTCAAGCAGATCCCTGAAGAGGTAAGTCTGTTCTTTTATGTTTATTTCATTAAACGTAACTGAATGCAACAGTATGTTTTCGTTCTCTGTAATTGTCCTTATGAAATTCTCCTGTGATCAGGAATTTGCCATCCCAGCCCACACAACAGCTTTGGTATTTAGAGTGTTTTTTTCAAACAAAAGGTTAAATGGAAACCAAAGAGTGCATCTTTTTGGCAGTCCAGCCAAGGTTACATTATGATTTTAGCATAATTTTCAGATGCACAAAATAGTAAACAATCAATGCATTTTTTTGTCTCCCTTTGCCCTATTTCTCCATAATTCTTTTCTGTCTAAGCCTAGAAAGTTCCACTCACCTGTCTTCATAGCAAAGGATTTCAAGGTTCACTCCTGAGCTTGAGCTGACATTAACAACTCTTTGGGGCTGTGCAGGCCTTTAGCCCCAATATCACTGCACCACTTTTCACTCACCTAATAAATAAAAGCCATGGGGCAGTTTTGCTTGCTTTTCCATATGTCCCTCTGAGTTCTGCTGAAAGTCTGCTGCCTTGTTTGGGTTTTTTTCAGCTATTTTATTCCACTTGACTGTGGAGCTGTCTTCCTCTGCTGCAGGATTTCTTGACAACTTTTATACACTTCTATCAAGCAGTCCAGACGTGGCTTGGAGCTCTAGAAGTCAAACAACAGAGAATCAGGTTCTGGACTGGCTGTAAAAGAACTGGAAAGCTTGTAACTTCCCACTAGTGAGACAGGCCCTAGTGAGACATGAACCTAAAGAAGAGGAATGTGGAGACAGCGGACAAACCTAGCAGAAGTGTGTCTGTGTAAGGAGTGCAACAGTTAAGACACCTGTAGCTGGTTAGCTTTCTCACATCAAATCAATGGAGACTTGTACATGTTCATTGAGAAATAGTCCATCCGACTCCGGGAGGTGTCTGATGTAAGCTGGTAAAATATAGGAATGCAAAGTCATTCCATAAGCCATACCTTCTCTGTCATGAAAAACACCATTCCGTAAGGTGTCAGGTCAAGACATACAGCACCATTCTGCAGTTAGCCTGAATCCCTCACCAGATCTGAAAGCTGCTCCTTTCTCAGCTCACAGTTCACAGTGACAGCATGGAAGAACATCCACACTTTCCCAGCCATCACCCTATCTGTTAGGCCATATCTCTAGAGACTAATAGACAGCAGATTTCCATACACTGGATCTACCATCCTAGAACACCTCCACCCTGAAAAACAGACCTTCAGGACAGGGAGTTTAGACACCTGATCCTTGGCCTCTGCTAGTTCTGTCAACATAAGGACAATGGAAGGTTAACTGAAAACATCAATTAATTATACATAAACAGGAAAGGGTGGTCAAAGGATAATAATTTTTCATCAATTCTAAACTGCACCAGATTAAAACCAGCAAGGAGGGGAAAGTTTCACAGTCCTACAGTCCCTATGATCCCATGACTTTTGAGTTCCCAAAACAGCATTACTGTGTAAAGTCCATCAAATGCCTCCTTGCAAGTGTTGCATAAGAGAACAAAAGGTCAATTCAGTACAGAAGGGCTCTGGGCTCAGTGACACAGGATACTGTATTTTTGAAGGCTGACATAACTTACATGAACCTAATGAAGGTAACACAATACAGTCAAATAATCACTGCCTCTTCAAAACTAAGTAACATACTGATTTGCACGTTAAAGTAAGAACTACAGACAGGTACTCGATTTCAGACTGGCACAGTTCTGTACCTCCTTTGCTGGTGGAGTCAACTCTAGCAGTACTAAAATGTTTCCATGAAAATAAAGCTGTTCGGAGTTGAGATAGGAAAAAAAAAAAAACTATACAGATGCCAGGCAGCCTCTTTGAAGTTGGAAAGGAGCATATCAACTAAAACCAGGTTCCTGAATGCAGCTCTCTGGAATTTATTACTTTTTGATTTCCAGCAAATCCCTTCTTTCCCTTGTCTATGTGCGAAATATTTAATTTATATTACTGTTAATAATATAGTCTTTACAATTGTGGGACTGAGTTAGCAGCAAGAATCAATGGAATAGCCTATTTATACTAAGTTTTTAGAAGAAGACTAACTGTATCCAATCATAAACTGTATGTAGATTACAAAACAATAGTCACCAACAGCAGATGAATTAAGGACAGAGAGGGCTATATAGCTCAGTGATCTAAAAACTGAGGTACCTCTGATACAGCTTACCACCACTCACGGCTCAGGGCATTCTTGTGTTAGGCATGAACACACACAAAGAAATTCCATCCCAAAAACGGGATTATGAACAGTCAGAATAAGTTAGCAAGAGAAGAGAAAGGGGAGACGGGGTAACGGTAACACAAACAAGTTATTATACATTAAGCAAATTGGTCACAGCTTGTCCTGTGATCTTTGTCAATGGATAAGATGGGAAGTCATTCCAATGCCAAGGAGGCTTTATGAACATTTTTGGCACACCAAGGTGAGAGAAAAATCAGCTGCAGCAGAGTGCCATAGGCCAATCGGTGCAATGAAGATCACAGCAGATCAGCACCACACTATTCTGTAACACAAGCCAAGTAAAGACAGACCTCTGGTCTTACAATTATTTCAACACAGCTTTAGAGAAAGTACAATTAAAACTGCACAGTAAATTATAAAATAATAAAGGATGGTAACACTGAGCACAGGACTACACAGAAAGCTGTATGAGTCCTCAGTACCCTACCTGAGCCAAAGGCTTTTTAGTTCATGCAAACTGTTGGCTGGGTTCAGATTGACACAATTCCCTGTTCTTTGAAAGGAGAGCAAATGAAAAAAAAATCCCCAGTACATAGTTCTATGAGGCTTCTAATACCACCCACCCCGACAGCCCAGCCAGGGAAAGGAACTGTAATCAGCTACCTGTAGTGGAATAAAGATATGCTTGGACAACTGGTGTGCCACACAGACCACAGATCTGGATTTTTCCACTGTTCAGTGAAACTCACCTGAAAGAGTGGCACGACCTCAGATACTCCCTGAGGATCTTCAGGGTCCTGAAGGAGGATACATAGGTAGTAGATAACTTTTTGCTACAAGACAAACAGACACAATCATTGGAGTTTGAAAAAGCTATCAAATTGCCTGGAGTTAGCAAAGAAAGAGGAACTGTTTCAACTCACTGGGCTGAAGGCCAATCATCCCAGGCCACAGTCAAGTCTACCAATTTATATCTATAGCTTTCCCACAATAAAAAAATAACTTTGTGGTTTTTTTCTATTAAATTTTTAACCTGAAAAGAACACACATATGCTGGAAGGGTAAGGTCTGCTTTTCTACAGGAGCTTTGCAGAAAAATCATCATTTGTGTCTTCTACCTCCTCATCTCTGTCTTGACTACATACAGAGTTGGCCATCAGGCTTTGTGAGAACAGCATAACACAAAGAACTAAAGCCACTAGCTCAATGTCTGTGGCACTATCTAAGAGATGGATTTGGCTTTTTGAGGTTTCTCCTTTAGTTTGAGTTCTCCTTTAAAGAAGAGATGAGAAAATAGAGAGGGAAATCTGAAACAAAGCTCCTGATGTCAGTAAAGCTATGGATAGTGCTGGGTTTAATTGCTCTGGTAAACCATACTCATGAAAATAAAGTGGATGTGAGTGTGCCCACAGAGACAAGAAGAAAGGCTGTGTATGATTACCATATGGATGGCTTCATTGATAACCACATCCTTCACTTGACCCATCTCAATGAAGGTTGTGCTCTCTTTTCCTGAAGCATAG